GCTGTACAATAAGACTTTATGGTGTTTCCAATTTAATAAAACAAACTGAATCCAAGAATTATACTCAAAGTGAATCTCATGCTCAAAATATTTTCACTTGAAAAAGCTTTATTACGAAAAGAAAAACTGTGAGTATATGCATGCATGTAGTTAAGTCTGTAATGGATAAACATTTGCAGATTGCTATGCTAAGTTTCCAGAATTCATCTGAATCAAGCTAGGGATTAGTCTTTTCTATTCCCAGTAGCTCTCTGAAGAGAGCAGAAATGATTGATTTTTTTTTTCCCCCTGAAGTGCATGATTTTGAAAAAAAAACCAGCTCTCAAAAACAAGTGAAGACAGTTGTTCGATCACATCTCACCTGCTGCTGCATGCCAAGGAGCAGAAGTGGGGGGAAAAGTCACACAGGGACTGCACAAAGGGGAAAGTGTATCAATATTTAAAGACTCTAGGCTCAACTTGGATCTCGTAAAAATTCATTTTTAACATTAATGGATTTCAGAGGTGGAATATATTAAAGATAATGCTACAAAACTTCACTGGGAGATTCTTCTATTGACATATTTTAGGCTAACTTGAACAGAAGTAATAATTTGTTAGAGGCGCAACATAGAAAATAAATATTACTACAGAGATCCAAACTGAAAAATAGTCAATGAGACTATTAGAAGAACCAGTGGCAATTATTTACAAGCCACACCAGAGTTACGTTTAGACTTATGCAAAATTCAGTTCCACACAAAAATGGTGATAAGAGTACTCAGGAAAATGCAGAATAACTTTGATTTGAAAACAAAACTGATAGTACATGAAAAATGCTTTATGTGACATTTCAAAAGCTTCACAAATTTGTGCTCCTGTTTTGGAAAAAACACATGTTATCTGAGCTAAAGCATCACAGTCACCTTCAATATTAGATATGCCTTCATGATATACCATGTAATTACCCATTTACTTCACTTCATATAACAATAATCATATATCAATGAGGGTTTTTTGCTTGCCTGACATGTCATGGTTCTCCATTTGTCGGGGTCTTTTTAATGTTATGAAAACTTCCATTTTTTATGTTTACTGAGAAGCTTCAAATACTGTTCTTTGTTTCCAGCTGGATCCTATAACCAAAATCTACCATATATTAAATTATTGGAACATCTACTAAATGAGGGGGCAGAGGAGAATTAGAACATGCAACACATTTTCCACAAAGCTTTTTTTAATGCAGAAGTGTCTAACTAGAACTTGAATAACCTAAGAATAGATACTCTTCTACCTGTTGCTTTTGGTAATTCTATTCCCTTACTAGTGGCCTAAGGACACCACATTACTCAACATGAATCAATCATGGTTATGTTCTGAAGGCTATTTCAAGTGTAAAATCCTTACTTAACACTGAAACACTCCAAGAATACTGATGCATGGTACCTCTGAAGTCAATTCTCAACTTTGCACTGGGGATGTTGTTTAATAACTATCACTTTTCAAATTCACATCACTCCAAGAGCAGCCATAACCCCTTCCTTAGAGCCTCTGCCAGACATGCACAGCTGAGAGCAAGCTCATCATCTCCAACTCTAAGTTACAAGACCAGAAAGAGATGTTCTCCCTTTCTGTAATAGTAAAATTTAGGTGATGTTACTTCGAAGAAAGCCACAAAAAATTAAAAGCACAAAAAAGAACACCATTCTTTTACGGTTTTTAGCACTGCTACAGTATTTGCTCACATTTTCGGCTCATGAAAGGGAAATCAGAAGGAATCAGCCACAAGTAGGTGTAGAAGATATATAGCTATGCACAGGTGGAACCCCTCTATTGTTTCTTCCTACTCCCCATTCTCCCACCACTACCTTACCACATGCACCAAGCACCACATAATACTAGTTCACCAAAGTGTTTAGCACTGAGTTCTGCAAAGTATCTCCAGCTATCTGCAAGAGTGAACCCTCAAGTGTACTGTGATACTACTGATCAACATGCTTGAGGCCAAAATCAAAGTGTAAGGTATTCAATTCAACATGAGCCATCAGCAACACTACAATTCCAGCTTAAAAAATTAGGAACAGCTGCTGTGCTATGTGTATTCCACAGAACTCCTCATTCAGCTACATAACTTGAAGTGGCAGGTGAAAAATGATGGTGATAGGGTTTCCTTTTTTATCTAGGGATTTTAAAGTATGCCTGATACAAAGTTGACTGTACACTTTTCTATATCAGCAGAGGTCAGGCAAAAAAAGAGGAGGGAGGAGTTTCATTTGTCAATCCATGTTTGATCAGGGCTTCTTTTCTTAGTATGTCCTTAGACTGAGCCATGTGGCAAGACATATATAAAATGGCTCATATTACTGATGGTGTCATCCTTGACCTCTCATGCTTTATGAGTATGATTAACTGTTCTTACTTAAGGAACAGATCCACCTTAATGACCACCATTTTGTAGAGCCAGAAAGTCTCCCATCCCCACACACTCTTTGAAGACAAATACAGAGTCCCCAAGGGTCTTAAAACAGGCTTCACACCATCACTTATCCGACCGAAGAACTTTCTGGCATTAAGACAGGAGACTCTAGAAATATTTTATATGTTTTACATGTGAGCAATGATCCCCTTTTACCATCATGGGGTCTATCTGTCAATATACCTTTGATTGGTGTTCATGGTGGAGACTTGACAAGAAATCTGCCAACAGTTCAACATAGTAAGAGGACAAATTATCAATAAAACGTTGTAACAGTTTTTCCTTATCTTAATTTGTATCATGAAGACTAATACAGCCTAGACTGTTAAATCCATTCAGCTTCTCTGTTCAGTACCTGGACTTTTTTTTAATCTGTACCCATTTCCTTATTTGTAGTACAGCTGTTTAAGTAGTTTGTCTAGAAGTTAAAAGTTAACCCTCTGGCATTAAGAGCCAGAGATTAAGTTTTATTTTTTGGGTATCACCACAAAAATAGACTTCTGTATTCAGTTTTCCAGTCATCCACTTTTTTTCTTAAGTTATCAAAATATCTCAAAAAATGAGCACAATGTTTACTTATGAGAAAGCTCAAGAGTTATGAAAATGACTGCTTGCCCTGCTATTCCTCACTTGATTCTAGTCTCCATCTCCTTAACAGCAGAGATGGCTGTTCATTCCTGTCCTTTCCCTACCACCTCAGATGACTCCAATCAGAACCTGGGCAATGGAGTCAAGATTCACTAAGTGGGTAGGTAGATGTGTCACCTTTTCCCTCTCACACCCTCCCTTTGATGGGGAAAGGACGATTTAGCCTCTAACTTATATAAGCAATTTTTTTCCACAGGGGTACTGTCTATCACCCCACATGAAGTTTTGGCACCCTACAGTATTTGGCATGTGGGAAAGATAGAAGAGATGCTTTGGTCAATGACATGCTCTTCCAGTTCAGTTCCCACATTACAGTACTTTTCCCTTCATACCTCTTGGCTAAAGTTTGGGAAAAATAATATATAAAAACCTCAAAGTACAGAAAGGCATTAAAATAAGCCTTCAGACATTTTAAAATAGGAGATTCCTTCTATACTTTCTTGGAGAACTCTAGTTGGTATCTTTCATCATTTTCTGCACCCTATATTCTTTAGCTCTTATTTCTTTCTTCAGTTTCATTTTCTCTCTGGTAGCCATTTTTGTTTCTGTAGATATGTGCCAAGATAAGACTAAGAAGGACAGGTTTCAGTTTATTACAATTAGTTTGACATTTAGTGTATATTCTAAGGCAGGATTTGTCAACTGAAGCTGTCAAATAGGCAGCTGACCCTCTGAAAAGGACTCAAAAGGGGAGCAGGTAAAGAGACTGTTGGCATGCATTTTCCAGAACCCACATAGCTAGCCCATCAACTGCAAGCAGATCAAGCTGTATAGTCTCACAATGAGTTCTTCCTAAAGCAGCATTTTTAACATCACAGGTTCTATTGACTGAAAACCAGCTGTCATAGGCCTCCATTTTCTCATGTTTCAAGACAAGAATCAAAGATTTGTCTAAAAAGCAGAAGGATCTAACAGGACTTCAAGAATGTCAACTGCATAGATAAAATTAACTAAAAGCCCAACTTAACTAAAGCAATGAAAAACATACCATGTGTTAAAAATAAAAACGTAAGTCTTTTTGGACTCAAATTCCTACAGTAATATATGTAAGAGTATTCCTTAGCACAGCTACATGATATATGCTCCAGTAAGTTTATGTCAGTTTTGTAAACAAGACAGGACTGCAGTCACACCAGTGACCCAGAGCTGGTTCTACATGCAGGCCAGGGCCAAGTTGTTCTTCCTGTTAAGGATGGGAAGAGAAGAAAATAAATGCTGACATCTAGGGACACTCTTCTCACCTACTGCTTAAGTCTAGCCTTTCATGATAAACGAGGCAAGTTCATTTGTGCCTCTTACTCTAAGTCCTTGAATCATTCTACCTACACTGCTGTTTGATATCTAAAGGAAAACCCCATGGTTGAAGTGCTTGTCAATAGGGCATACATAGAAAAGCTATTCATTACTCATCCTGCGCTCTCCTGGTCCTTTCAGGCAATTAACTGAAGTCACAATTCAAAAGCAGATGCTGAAGCTATTAGATACTATTCTGCACCTTTTGTATTATGCTCGCTACAGAGGTACCCCAAAAAAATCTCCCTCATTATACAACTGTATTCTAAGTTTTATTCTTTCTTCAAAGATGTTACTGCTATAACTATACCTTAAAGCCTAACTATATTCCTGATGACATACTGCATGTTTCACCAATTTGCAGAAGAATCAAACTCATAGACATAATCAGTTTCTTGGTCTAAGACTTCAGTTTGATCTGTACAGCTTATGACTGGAGACCTCGGGAATATATTTTGCACAACCCACCCCTGTTTTAGCACAAATCGGTTATGTTGCAACCCCTAAAGGCAACTGAGAGAAATAAAAGGAGAAAGCTCAACACCTTTCCCTTGTTAGCAATACCTCCTTCTGTCAAGAATCACAGCAAAATTTGCTAACTTACATCTAGTGAATCTTCATTGACCAGGATGAGAGACATACTCTGTGAAATGAGTCTGCAAGAGTACCCTGCAAGAGAGAAAAACAACAAGAATTTAATTTTTGGAACAATATTTAAGGTTTAGCTAAACCTTAGGATAAGCATACATAGGTCAGATAACAGTAGTAACTGCTCAGAAAGTAAACTATGAGGCAGGCCACTAGAAACACTGGTGTATAGAACACACACCAGCTTGACAATTTTACTAGCAACATAAGCAGCATTTTATCTGCATTTCCAAATATGTCACCTGAGACGTTTTAACTCAGGAAAACACTGTATGAACTAAATACAGTAAATAGAAGCTGTAGCCCTAGAGTAAAATTAAGTATTTTTATACCTAAACTTTTTTTAGTTTACATGAACACAGAATTGCCTTCAGCATTACAGGAACAGACCTAAAAGCACAGCTGTAGCTGTGCCACGGTACTGGAAACACACATATTGAATCCATTGGTGTTACCCAGTCCCCTTGGTCCACAGCTGGGTTACATGAGCATCTTTTACTTCTGAGAGTTTCATGTGGAAGGTCCTGAGCTTCATCAAAAACTACAGACTAACGACACACAGAGCACCCCTGCCAACTCCTCCAGACATCAGGTAATTGTAACAGATTATTCTTAGTGAAGGACTGTGCCATGAAAGAACATGAACACGTTGTCATAGCCTGGAGCAGCACTCAAAGCAGTTCTGTATATTTGTCAGGACGCCAAAATTCAGAGCAAAGCTTCATGAGAAAAAAAAAAAAGTAGCATCTTATTTTCCTAATAGTAAAAGCCAATGACTGCAATACCACTTGCTGCCACTGAAGTGGCAGCCTCTCTGCCACATGATTGTCACTGACATGAGAAAGTCATACCCAGGATATATATACTTGGCATTTACAAAATAAACAGTTTAACTCCAGCTCATATTAATACTAGAGACAAATGCAAGCTCTCATCGGGCTGACCCCATTGCGTTATCCTAAAAGCTCATGCAAGTTCTCTTGGGACTGGCACAGTCCTGTAGCTTCATAGAACAGCAGAAAAATAATTTATTTGAAGCATATGCCTTTTATTGCTGTTACACAGCAAAAAGAAATACAGAATTATTCTGTATTTCTGCTGTGGTTTTGTATAGAAATTAAATCATGGCAAGTTTAAGAAACTGCTGTCAAATAAAATGAGTTCTCAGGAAGAGACCTTTCTTAAATGGAGACTAGAGGCTACTGCAGTTTAACAGTAACATCCCTGTTATGAGCCACTGCAAGGCCAACAGGTTCAAAAGCAGAACAATTGACATTGACATCAAGAGAACAACTAAGACATGAATTAATTCTCTGTGGGATGCTTGGTTCCTTAGGAAGGCCATACAAACTCATCAATTGCAATGTAAATAATTTCCTCAGGCTACAGAATTTTTATAATTGGGATACTTTTGTAGGTATAATCCAGGGTTAACATGTCTGTATGAATAATTTCTGTCAGAACAGCAAATTACTCATCTTCTTTTGTGGAAGGCATGCTTGTATCACACAGCCAGGCCTTTTCAAGCAGCAGGTTTGAATACCTGCAGAAATTTTGCTTCTCTTGTATTTTCACCTGTGTGAAATGAGTATCAAGTACACCCTTGCAGACACATTTTCATCTTGTGGTACTAAACTAAGGTTTACTGTCTGCTTTAAAAGACAGCACAGAGTGACACTGAAGTCACACACACCTACTGAGAAAAGGACAAGATATATTCTAACGAAGTACAGCCAACAACATGAAAGCTTTTCAGATCACCTCAGACACTTCTTGTGAACAAGTCTTAGGTGGTAGTACAGAACTAAGTAATGAAGCTTCAACAAGTATAGACAAAACACTGACTCAGGGGAAAAAAAAATCAGTTTGCCATTTTAAAAAGTTACTCCTAGGCTGAAGAAGCTCTTCATCACTTTTACTGAGGAAAAAAAAGAGAATATTACTAACTTAAGCACTTCCCTGTATGTCAGGGTTATTCTTTCCCCAGTGAATGTCAACAGCCTTTGCACAGCAGGCTATTACAAATTCAGTATAACTAATTCAATGGATTTTCTAGTAGCATTTTATTGGAACAGCAGTTGCAAAAGCAAGCTGAAATTTCTAAACCACTGCTCACTGTTTCATTTTACCTCTTTCAAAACAAGCAAGATATCACTCAGCAAGTGGAGCTGGAAAAAAAAAAGGCATGGAAAACAGTTGCTCTGCTGTGCATCATGGAGTCAGAAGAACTAATCCTGCAATTGAGATCATTTTGCATCTTGTCATCACATGAAAAAGAGGAAGGGGATCAAGACTGGAATAGGAGGATATAAATCAAGATTAACAACAGTTTATAGATGATCTATATGTTATATGTAATTTCAAGACCATGAACATGTTAACATCTAGTACAAGTAAAAAGCAAAGTAACTGGCAACTCTAAGATTACAAGTGACATCTGTAGTCATATTTTAAAATTTTATAATAGTTACTACTGGCAGTACTAACATGGCAAGCAAAATTACACTAAGATCAGGGCATATTTTTGTCAATGTTTCTGAATAGAATAACATCAACTGCTGGTTTAAAGCCAGGTGTAGATTGTCAATCCACACCTGTAAGCTGATTTCTAGTTGATTAATTTAAAAGTCCACAAAGCAGATGAACTGGGTACTTCTGGGACTTATTTGCCTTCAAGTGTCCTGGGAGAAAGACTGCTTGAACCAGAGTTCAAGATCATAGCCCACAGGCACATTTGCACTGCAAGCATACAGAATCCAGTGTCTGAGGCAAGAATGATTATCCTCTGTGTTTGAGAGGACATATACACCCTACTCAAACTTCATGTAGGGATACAGGCAAGTATGCTGGCATTGCTTCAGTTCCCTCAGCAGAAAAGAAAAAAAAAAATATCCCAGCTCGCGATAGCAGAAGTGTTCTTGCCTCTAAAGTGGGAAGCCTCACATTTGGTGGATGGACTGTTAGTTCGATGGGTATGGAATTGGCTGGATGGCTGCATCTAAAGAGTTATAGTAAATAGCTCAATGTCCAAGTAGAAACCAGTAATGAGTAGTGTCCCTCAGGGCTTAGTCCTGGGATGAACAGCATTTAGTATCTTCACTGATGACACACAGTGAGATTAAGCTGACTCTCCACAAGTTTGCAAACACCACCACACTGAGTGGTGCAGTTGAGATACTAGAAGGAAGGGATGCCATCCACACTCATGTAGTTCAACAAGACCAAGTGCAAGTCACACACCTGTGTTGCACCAAACCCAAATATTAATCAGTATAGACTAGAGGATGAATGGATTGAGAGCAGCCCTACTGACAAATACCTGGGAATACTGTGGATAAAAAACTGGATAAGAACCCACTTCGAGTACTGCACCCAGCTCTGGGGCCCCCAGCACAAGACAGACATCAACCTGTTAGAGCAGGTCCAGAGGAGGGCCACAAAAGTCAGAGGACTGGAACATCTCTCCTATGGAAAAGGGCTGAGAGTTAGAGTTGCTTTGCCTGGAGAAGACTCATAGGAAACATTTCAATATGTAAGGGGGGGTTATAAGAGACTGAGGAAGACTTTTTACCAAGGCCTGTAGTGACATGTCAAGAGGCAATAGTTTTAAAATGAAGAGTAAACATTTAGAGTGGATATAAGGAAAAAAAAATAACTTCAGATGGAGGCAGTGAGACTGAAACAGGTTGCTAAGAGAAGTCTGGGATGCCCCATCATGGGAAATGTTCAAGGCCAGGCTGGAGGGGGCTTTGCACAATCTGATCTAGCGAAACATGTCCCTGCCCATGGCAGGAAAATTGGACTATATCTTCAAAGGTCCCTTGCAAACCAAAGCTTTCTATGATTCTATGACTGGAAGGCAGTGCGCACAGCTAAGAATGAATATTCTAGGTAAGAGCATTTAGCTCAACTGTAGGGATTGATTTGATGTTTGAGGGAAGGATGAAGTTCAGTAAACACTATATTTCCATTCCCAGAAAATTATCTGTTACTAAGAAAGTTACTGACTGGAAATACCTCAGTTCTGATTGAGAACCTGCTGAACACCAGGATGGAGGTGAATAGAAATCTGCCCCCCCCCCCCCTTTAAGAGAAGGATGAAGCTACAAGAATGATGTTAAGCCTTCTAGAGTTGTTTGCAGAAACTGGCTAAGGACAGTTTCAGCTGATAAAATCTGAAGACCATATGTCATGCTCAAAGATATTTCTGAATGTGGAACTCCTATTTCCTATAGGTAGAGAGTTCAAATTGTTGATCAGTATTAAAGCTTGTCAGGAACACCTTCCTCACCAGCAGGACCATCTGCTGGCACATGGCTGAATGGAAGGCATACAAGCACCCCACAGCAAGGCCAATCATTATTCTTCAGACAAGTCAAGAAAGCAAGAGATAAACACACACAAATTCTTAAGAGCAAATAATCAAGAAGATGATGGAAGAACAAAGTACTCCAACTTCCTGGGGCAGCTGCTAAGAGCTCAAATATCCCTCAGTACATGCACACATCCACACAGCAAGCAAGAGTCCATAAACATAACCTCTGCACACAGTAAGTGAAAATACTTTCTACTCCCTAGATAGCATATTTACACCTGAAACAAAGTGTACATGTGGACTGGGTTTTAAATTCAATGTTTATTACAGTTTTAATGGGTAACATACAAAGACTGGAAGGGTGCCACATGTTTGTGCTTTCAAGCCAACTTGAACATGAAATTAATGAAATTCAAGTTTTACTACCAAACTACACATTAAACAAAGTGACAATTTAGAAGTTGTAAAGGAGATGCTTATTCTTTTCCAGTTGCTATTTATAAAAAGAACAGTTTTAAAGACAAAAGTGGAAGTTAGCCTCCTTCAGAGTCTTTAGAGTAAGCAATTGCTGTAAAGCCTATTTATCTGTGTTCATGCTAGCTGCTGGCAGTTAATATATCAACTTATGTAAGGTACTTAAGCCAAAATCTTCAGTTGCTTTTTAAGTTGTCAAAAGATGATGCTCCCATCATCTCAAGTTGACTACTGCTTTTACAGAAAGTAAAATCTGAAGACAGTGATTGCAACCAGGTAACTAGCATTTAAATCAACTGTCTATTTAAGCCATCCACCCATTTTCTACTACAACTGTATCAGTTCAGCAAGTTAATTCATCTCTTGATACCAACATCAACATACAAAGATACAAAAACTGAATCAAGTTTCATGTAAGTAGACAAAAAATAGTCAGTCAGACTACATTCCAAAATTCCACTAAAACACTGAAGCAGAAAAAAAATCAAAAGACAGAAATCAGCAAATGTCCAAATATTTGCTGCAGATAATCTTAAATTCACTTACAGAGCACCACAGTTCTGCCAGGAGCTGCCTGAAATACACCCAGACCCATCTACATGCAGTTCTATATAGAAAAAAGCTTTGTTAGTCACATTTTTCATATAGTTCGGGTATCCTGAATCAAGATGAGCTTAAGGCTAAAGAAATAGCTCCTTCAACAGAAAGCAACTTAAACTGTTCAGGATCCCCTTAGCCTCTATGTGTACATCTTAAACTAATGTGGAAATCTGAATGCAATATTAGATGGCATGTTACATGGCCACACTAGAGACAGCAGAGATAAGCAGAGTGTTCTAGACTTAACAAGGTGAATGTATCACTCAATTCTATGAGATGTCAGATCACCAGAGTGTCACTTTGCCTCTTTCCATCTCTGGGCACATTTACCAGTTACAGGGAGAAAACCCATCAAAAGAATAAAGAGCATCATGGCACTATATTGCCAAGGATGCTGTATTTGGGAGATACACCATGTCATGGTGGGGGTGCTCATATCAGGATCTGTTCCTTTACTAGGTCTTTACTACTCAGTCAAGACATGTATAGTCCCTCTCCTAGGAGGCTACTAGCATGTGAAAGGCTATGGCACAGTGGCAGCACAGACACAGCTCACAAATCAGCATTTCAAGCACAGAAGTGCTCTGTAACAGCACAAGTTATTACTACCTAGGTTGCCCTTCTTACAAGTATTCAGTGAGAAAAAGGCTGAATGATTTGGGTTTTGAGTACTACTCATGTGGCATACCTATTGCAAGACTAGCACAATAACAGAAGTTATACAGAGCACATCTAGTTGCTCCAGGATTGAAATTACAATGTGTGCCTCCAGTTCAGCCCAGCCTTACTGCAGAAGTCTTTGTATCTGAATATTACAAATATACAGATTGTACCAGATAGCTTTCTTTTTAGGACATAAATGTTAACATTTAAGGGATACTTCTAATAACAAACCTAAACCTAGTGCTAAAATTTCTCTGGTTTTGTGCTGCAAAAACAGGTAGTCAGATAAATATTTATTGTCTACAGTAGGTTACCTTTCTATTACATCAGTACCCAGGCACACCTGTCAAATACTTTAATTTGTACTTTTTGTTCCCATCATAGCAAGTTGGGGGTATTCTTCCACTAAGTGAACAGTTTATAAGTTAAGATGCATCAACTAGTTTGAGACAAGGATATCCATATTGTGCCTTGATATAACAACCTGTATTAAACTCTATCCATACATTCAATAGCAGCAACACACTTCCACTAATAGTCAAAATATACAGGACTAGGAGATGTGAGTAGTGGTTTGAACCCAGAAGGAAACTGATCACCACACAGCTGGTTCATTTACTCACTCCTTCCACCCCAGCACTGGGAAGGCAAAAATGAAGCAAAAGGGCACAGGAATAGATATAAGAACAGGGAGGGGTGCCTCACCCACTACCACCACAAACAAAGGACAAACTCATTAGTGATGTTCTTTTTCTTCTTCTTCTCCTAATTCAAACACTAACAACAACAGGCAGAGCAGGATGGTGAGCAGTGTTACCAGATCTTAAGAACACCATCCCCCCACCCCTCCCTTCTCCTGGGCTCAGTTTTGTTCCTGGTATCTCTGCCTCCTTTCCCCAGCAGTGGAGGGGCAAGGAATGGTTGGACTAGATGATCTTCAAGGTTCTTTCCAACTTAGATGATTCTGTGGTTCTGTGAATGGGGGGGGGGTTTGGTCAGTCTGCCACTCCTTACTCCAAGGGAGAGGGAAGCACTCCCCTGCTCCATGTGTTATCCTTCTCACAGGAGACAACTTTCCACAAACTGTCTCCATCCCGATTCCTCCACAGGGGATGCATTTTTCCCCCAAGATGCTCTGGCATTGGTCCCCCCCACATGCTGCAGTCCTTCTAGCACCAAAGTACAACAATGGGGGCTGCTTCCTCCCACAGGGTCCCACCCTGCTTTGGGTGCAGCTGCCTGTGGGGTCCTCCACAGGCCACAGGGGAATCCCTGCTCTACTGGCAGCTTCCATGGGTGGGAGGGGGGCAGCCCTGCCATCTCATCACAAGATACAGAGAGGGTGGTCTCTGCTCTGACACACCTCTCTGCTTCCTCCTCCTTCCTTCCACTGACCTTGGTGTTTGCATAGGTGTCCTTTCTCATAACTCATCCTCAAATTCCCCACTCCTCTCAGGTTCCTCCTCTTAAATACGTTACTGCAGAGGCACAGCTACCACCATTAATTAACCCAGCCTTGGCCAGAGGCAGGTATGACTTGAAGCCAGGGGAGCTTTGAGAAGCTTCTCACAGGGGCCAACACTCTACCCCCCTGTCCCACAAACCCAGCATGACATGCCATAAGGTAACAGCAGGAGCAGTTACTCAAGCATCCACCTACTTTCATAGACAAGGTTTTCAAGAAGTTGTAAGCTGTATGTATTAGCATATTTCCTATCATATTCCAAACACTATTAGAATCTAGAAAAGGCAGTCAGTAAGGAATGAAAAAAGTTGTAAACCAGTTTAATATAATGGACAGTATAACTGCAAGATTACAGTCTGATTGAGCTCTCTAGTTTCCATCAGAACAGACACCTATATTCATTCTGTTCAAGAACTGCACTTAACCAAGAGCAGAAGTGTTCCTTTTGCCTTAAAAAAACCCCTGAATATAGCATGACACAGAGCAAAGATTTCACTTCAAGCCCTCCCCCCTCTAATGCAAAGGCTACCACATGCCCACTTGCTACCAAGGAATCACTCTGTAATAAGCAAGCTGATTTTGGTTAAAAACCCACACAGCAGATCTAGTACCTAACGTGCTACATATCAGACAAGTTCAGAGTAACCAGACAGATGGATACCTATATTGAGAGCTGTTTCCTGTTTGTCCCCTGTCAGAATCCATATCTTAATTTCTGCCTTCATTAGTGTGGCTATTGTTTCTGGAACACCTGCTTGCAGACGATCTTCAATGGCTGTAGCTCCAAGCAGCAGCAAATCCTGGGAAAAAAAAAAAAAAAAAAAAGAAGTCGAGGAATTATTTTCTTCAGATAAACCTCTGTTTGGAACACAGTCAAAAAGGAATTAAAGACAGCAAGTTGTACCTCATTGCTAATACAACATTTTGACAAGCAATATACACTACAGTAAATTTCTGGTGTGGCTATTCTACTTCCTCTGAATACAATTCACATTTGAAGAGGTACAGAACAGAACAGTGTTTCTAATCAGAAAGATGTCAATATTTCAAGAGGAATTAATTGAAGTTATACAACTCCAAAGCTCTCCTATGGATGAGCATATATACTAAAGCATTCATTAATCACCATAGCAACATGAGTGGTCACAGTTTATAAGTTTCTTAAAACCCACAAAAGAAAAGTCACCTGGCATAACATCATTTCAACTAATTTCCCTCCCATAAAACATACATACAGGATGGGATACAATCAAAGTAAAAATTATTCCACCTATTTATGGATATAAACACTACATTTACGTAATACAGTTGGTATGAACATTAATCAATCCAATTATCTCTAGTCTACGTACAGATGTCTGCCAGAAAAGCACGTCTCATCATACAACAAATTTAATACTACAGAGTTAGCCATATTCTTATGCAATTCTGAAGCAATTGCTTGGGGAGATTTGGCCACATTACAGAAAAGTCAGGCAGACAAAAATACTAAGAAATAAACCTTGTCAGAAGGCACAATCTACTCAGCAGATCCTTAGACATATAAAGATGTTCAATTTAAGGGACTGATATAAATTGAGTCTAGCTATACTGCATTCCCAGGAATTACACAGAAAAAGTAACAGATTCTATTCTTTGTAGGGACTATAATTATTCAGAAAAAATGAATACAGATGAAGTATACAGGAGTAGTCAGGAAAACTGTTCAGCCTGAAGAAGACAAAGCTCCAGGAAGACGTTATTGGGGCCTTTCTATATATAAAGGGGACATATAAGAAAAATGGAAAGAGACTGTATACCAAGGCCTGCAGTGTCAGGACAACAGGCAATGGTTTTAAACTGAAAGAGGGTTGATTTTGTTTGGATATAAAGAAGGAATTTTTCAAAATGAGGGTGGTGAGACACTGGAACAGGTTGCCCAAAGAAGCTGTGGATGCCCCATCACTGGAAATGTTTAAGGTCAGGTTGGACAGCATTTTCAGCAACCTGATCTAGTGGAAAAAGGTGTCGCTGCCTATGGCAGGTGGGTTGGAACTCTAAGGTCTTTAAAGGTCCCTTCCAGACCAAACACTGTGATTCTATGAAAAGGGCATTAGAGCAGCTCCTGCTTGTACACATCTATACATACATAAAGAACAGGATTATTTGTACAGGTGTGTAGGCTGGCATTAGTTACAGGTCTTGACAAAGCCTAGGTGTTGTAATGAGATCTTCAGTTGTTAAAAGGTAGTAGAATCAACTCATGTAAGTCATTTGCTTTAGTACCCTATAGCCTCCTGATGAACATTAGTTCTATTCATGTTAACAACATTCGCGGGTTACAAATGCAATTCAAGTGTGCCATTGTAGATTGCCTTTTCTTCCCCAAAATCACTTGTTAAGTAGTTAAATACAAAAGGAACTGGCATGGCAGAGCTACCCAGAGGAGTTACTCTTGTACCTGCTGAAGCAGTCTCAGTCAGTGTACCAGTGGGGAAGGAAGCCAGGTCAAGTTTGTCTCCATGTGTGCACTTGTACTATGATCCAGTCATCTCAGACTGACAAAGGAGCAACCTTGCTCTCATTTGAGCCCTTAAGTAAGAAGCCTGTTATAATACCTTATATTTTGTGTTACAGCCACAAGCCAGTTTATTATCTAGAAAGAAGTGCCTAGAGAAGGCAGACCAGAGATTTTAACCTGGGAAATACCATTTCTAATAAGAAAAAAAAAGTTTCAACTGCAATTCTCTGCTCCTTGGTATGACCAGCAAGCAAACATTAACAGGAAAGGAATACAGTGGCTATTGCCTACCAATTGTGGTGGTGCAGATCCCCCCCGGCCACACTGCAGTATCAGAGCCAGCCAATATTACTGTCTTGGTTATAACTGAGTATTACTGTCTTGGTTATAACTGCGGTGAGCATGGACTATCTAGCACTTTCTTGTCCTTTATACAAGTGCAGTGAGTTGGGATGATTAGGCACCCCCTAACCAAGACCAAAACTCCTGCTGCGTGGGAACTGTATCTAACTCCTAGGGTCTGGATCATAGCCTGCTCTGGAAAAATACCAGAATTACCTGACAAGAATTGTCACTAAAACGAATTATTGGCTGAAGTCAATCATCTGACCATCCTAAAATAGCAATCATGAGACCCTTTGAGCTCTCTGGGAATGCAGCAGGCTGTGACCCAGTATCTCCCTCTGAGTTGGGACACCTCTCAGTGTAGATTTCACAGGGATTTAAAAGAACAGATTTTTAAGACTTCCAAGTTTGTCCACTGATAGATGCCAAAGAGAAAGGGTTCAAACATTGTCTGCTGACAAAGGATAACAATGAGTAATTCACCACAACTGGATTTTTGTGAGGTTTCAACTATTTAGTACCAATAATTTACTACTACAGGTTAACCTCTATACCTCTGTGTGCACATGTGTTAGTGCATGCATTTGATTTAGGAAACTTGATAGCATTGATTATAACAAATTTTATTGTCACCCTTATATATCCTTATATGATGATATATCAGATGATTATTAAGTATTGTTAAAATCATTCAACCTAAACTTGCAGTTTACCACAATACCAACTGCTGCTACCTCAAAACTGCATAGTATCCATAATCACTCCTTCCCTGACAAGTGAGCTTAATTTACAAGATATTTTCCTTAACATTTATGGGACTAAGATTGGATCTAGCTGGCCCTAGATACCTCTCCAAGAAGGAGTTTAGAAAGCAAGGGGGTCCAGTCTTGTGACTTAACAGGAGAGTGTCCCTTAGCTTTTTTACATCTTTGCTCTCTGTATACATCATTTTAAATCAAGTTTAACTTGGTTCCCCCTTTGGATGTTTCTTTTATGTAGTAACAAAGTTTGACAGCAAGGTTCGCTCTAAGTCACACTTTTACAAATTAACATGAAAATCACTTTCATGAATACCTTCGACAGTGATTAAGTGCTCTAGAACACTCATCCACAACATAAGGCACTAAGTCCAAAACTCCAATTCTACAATGTACTCACAGGTCCCCTTTTTTCAAGATACTAAATTGTGAAAAGAGGCAGAAGGTAGATAAAAGTGATACAGAGGTTGAGAACACATTTTAAAGTAAGAAAAATCAAGTTATGTTTGTTTTTTTTACCTCAGTGAAAACAGAAAAGCATGAGAACACAGGCAGAAAGCATGCAAACCTACAAAAACCAAGGATTAGATAATCACACTGCTATTTACCAACACACACAAAAGACAACCTAAGGCATTAGTTTGAAATGCAAGACCCAATCTTCAGCTATTAAAGAGTTCTTGGAGTTTTTCTGTTACCCTATGAAAGTTAGCTCTCATCCTAGTCTCAGCCTCCTTCCCCCTTCTGCCCTAACTTAACCAGTAGTGCTACAGAACTTAAGGTGCATTGTCCATTAAAAAACAAATTGAAGTTCAAAGAGTTTTAAAGAAACCACTAAATAAAATGATAGTGAAATAACTGGAGAAAGGCAAAAGAGCACAAACAGGTAAGGTGAGAAGTGTGACTACCAGCATTTCAGAAAACAGCAAGACCAACAAGTATCAAAGAAACACTGGCCCCTAGTGTTGACCTTCTAACACTTCATTCAGTATGGGACAAGAGAGTTTCAAACCACTTCCTGGTACCTATTTTCCCCTTCCAGAATTATGAGTTCTGCAATTTCCACGGAGAGGAATTTTTGACTTGTCAGTCCCTGCAACTACAGGCCTTGGGGAACACTTCGTTTTGCCTACAAAATCCTTCAGAAAACCTGAACTGTGACTGCTGTACAGCTTCTCTTCATATACTAGCACATGTGAACTTGGTGCAACAGAACTATTCTCTATGTTTTCTTTATCAAATTACATCAACCTTACACAAGATAACCAAGTTAAAAGAATGTGAGAAAAGAGTTTAAGAAGCAATGACCTTTTATACATAAGTTTGTCTCAGATTTATGAATTAAAATTTCAGAGGTCTACGGACTGAACAGGTTGCCAACTAAGAACACCTTTTCAGCTTCTCATGAATGAAATTAACATGTTTTTTTTCTGTACAAAGGCCAAATTCCATGGGAGACAGACATATATAAGGGATCTGTGTCTGATCAAAAGAGCGTGTGTCTTACCTTTTCAATGATTTCATAGCATTCCTCCAGTTTCTGAGTTCTGTCTTTCAGAACTGTACTGGTTTCATTGTAGACATTCAGCCACTCTCTGTAAGAGTTCTCTGACAGATCTGCATAAGCAATGCACAGAGTCCTCAGACCTACAAAACAGAAGACATCCATTACACACACTAAAATTACACTGACTATCAGCAAATCATTAATGCCCTAACAAATGCTAAATTCTAACCCTCCCACTGGAACAACAGGAGTTTTTAACTCATGCTGTTAAACTCTGGATTCCAGAAAGTCTCCCTGTACATTTCTAAAGCATTTGGGTTTTCACAAACATAAAACTAATGTCTAGCTCCTTTAGGTTACTAATGTTGGTGCAAATCAGATACTCTGTCATCTGAGTTTTACACTGGAAAAAATACCTCTAACTCCAATGTAATTGAGGTATTCTGGGCAATACAACTCACACCCTTTCCCTTTATCATGGGCACACAGAGCCTCATGTTTTCCTTACAAATACCATTTCCCTACTGAATTGGCACAGGAACAGCACACAAACTTCCTTAGGCTTTAAGTTATCCTAAGGTTGTTAATTTGATGATTACACACCACTTAATTTTTTATCTTCATAACCATCTTATTTGGCACTGCAAAGCTCAGAATGCAGAACACACTGCAAATAATTTGATCAATTGAATTCTCATGACATGCTCTTTCTCTTACCTTCTGTTGCGAAGTACTCAAGATGGCACAGTGTTTGCTCCATATACTGGGAATCTTTTGAAAGCCTCTCAAAAATTACATTATCCTATTAAAACCAAATTCATTACAACAGGGTAAGTCTATGTATTAAGTTCCATTTGCATATTTACAAGCTCAAGGGAAGTAACCCGAGTGGACTTGCTAATACCAGAGCCCAAGACTGTATCTAGAAGTAATACATTTGGGTTTAAGGACTCTAGTTTGAGTACATAATCTGGATTGTGTTCAGTGGTAGACATACTGCATCCACTTTAAGTTACAAGGACAGAAGTACACTCTGCCCTCCCCCCCTCTTGCCATACAGGGGTCCCCTATTACTGCACCATACAGAACACTCCTTTCTGAATTGCTAAGCAGATTTATTGATTTTCAGAGAATTAAAGTCTCTGCTCTTATTTAGTACATGTTGTAGTCCCATGCAGAAGAGCTTCTTGCAATTCTTCCTACAAAAGATTCCCACTGACGTTAAATGAAAATCAGAAACACTGATCAGGTTCTAGCACAAAACTCTCCCAGAAATAACCCTTCCTGCAACAATTTTCTTCATCTCTAAATCAAAGAGCAATTGAAAAGGTCCAGGTAACAGCTGCAATCAAAATACAGCACTATCATGTACATATTTAAACTCTCTGGATTTTATTCTGCAACTACCAGAAGTTGCTACAGACATGTAAAATATGGAAACCCTACTGTTGCTCAAGTATGTACTCTTCAGATAAGTAAACTTACATCTATCATTGATTAGAGACAGGCATACAAAACAAGTAATTTATGATGGACATGACAGGACAGGAGATGACCATCAGAATGTGGAAGAGTTAATGTGGAATAGGCACTTAACTCACAGTTTAGATGAGTGGTAGATGTAGTAGAATATACAAAACAAAACACCGTATTACAGTAATTACTACAACCCTTCTGTTCTGTTAGACATCTGAGCCTGCTCATATGGAAGACAGCATGAAATTTTTTACTATAAACTCCCCTGCTGTCCACCTCTTCCAGTGCCACACTCCAAGAAACAGTATGAATTGCAGCATGGTATCAGCAACAAGCAGTTACAGGTCTGTGCCATCCCACTAGACATACAACACAATGAGATGGAGCTTAATTCACTCCCACCACAACAGCATGAAGCTGACACATCTTTACGAAATCAGGGGAGTTAAAATGTAGCAGCAGAGCCATGCACCCAGACCCATACGTCAAGACAAATTCAAGTAAACCAGATCCTCACAGAAGTCTGAAATAGTTTTCCCTGTTGCAGAAAGCCACCTCCGTAGATTACCACTGAAATTAGAACCACTCTGGCTGTGACTAATGCTAGTTTTGCAACCTTTGTACTTTGGTAAGTTATTGCTCTCATCAGCAAAAGACAGAAACAACATGGTGCAAGTCATGATGACAAATAAGAACAGGTGCAGAGATGCAACTGAGCCAGATCAAGAGTCAGCCACTTGAGAACACATTTTAGTGTTATAGATTTAAACAGCAGCATTTAGTCTAGCTCCTGAACTGCTGCTGCACAGCGGGGTGAAATCCTGACTTTGCTTAAGTAAAAGGTACTGCTCCCAGTAGTTTCAGGATTTCAACTGGGTAGTAGAAAGCCTAGCAATGTTCCTGCCTGCAAAAAGCATCAGAGGAGGAATGACAGATCTCTTAAATCACTTGGCCCTAAACAGAAAGCCAACAGGTATTATATATGAGACATGAAGTGCCACCATCAGCCACAGCTGTTGAAACAATAACTGGTGGTGTTAGTTCTCCATTAGATAGCATAATTACTTACAGCCCCTTTGCAGTAGAGACGTAGCTGTCCTGCTGGAGTTCGAACAATCACTGACATTCTCTTTCTGTTGCTATTGAAAGAAAAAAAATTGCTTTCATTAGTCATAGTAATGAAGAGTAGGTCCTGTTGTAGCTTGCGGATTTTCTCAAACGTGTTCAGTGCATCTGAGATGAGGTGAAATGTAACAGTAGTAACTTAAGACCCCACAGTCCTTGACAGCAAGAAGAAATATTAAATTTCCCATTTCCAGCTTCAGCCCTATGGCTCCCATTGGCAAGCACTCAACCGGAACATAAACTTGCACTCAAACATGAGCAAGAATTTGGAGAGCAGCAAGATGGCACAAAAACCCTCTTGAACAAGCGGAGTCACAATTCTTAGCTTTTCCTTATTCCTCAAGAAAAATTGTTTCGGGGACTCAGGCTAGAAGTGGCATCATTAAGGCTAAACTCACATTTATTATAGGCATAACAGACACTGAAATAGCCATCCACTGACCAGGACAGTCATTTAACCTTATAGCTCAAGATAATGCAGAAATGTCATAGAAAGGAATCATGGTATAGCTAGTTCTTGGTCTCCCTGTATGTTCTTCAGACTGGACTAATCAGACCTACATAGTTGGGATTATGTAGAACAAAGTCAGACCCTCTAAGCAGAGCTGCATATCAAGACAATCAAGTCTGGGATGTATTTTTAAAATAAAGGTAAACAATAGCGTACTGTACACACAGCAAAAGGTAGGCAAGGATTTTTTTTTTTTTTTTAAATATAATATTTGCAATTTCATTTCTCAATTTCTCCTTTAAAAGAGCCCCTGGAAAAAAATGCATCTTGTAAGAGACAGAGGCAAGTAAATCAAGTCTTAACAAAAGAACCCTAAGAACATGTGGTCTCATAATTATTTTCCTTAGCAAAAGGAGAACTCAGAAGCATCCTTCCTCATCCCCTTCTTGCCAATATCTACAACGTGTAGAGCACTCTTGCTCCTCCTACTGAAGTTGCTCAGGGAGATCTAGCCCCTTTTCAAGGCTCAAGAGCCATGTGTAAGACAGAACAATCCTTTCTGAGACTTTCTAAAGAAAGTCTGGAAGGACAGCAATTAGCTGTGCCCAGAATTTCTGCAGCAAGCTAATGACACTGAAACTTCCATGTGCTTTCTGAAATCTAATTACAGTAACTCCTTCACAGGTCCAGTGGAAAGCTGCTACACATAAGGAAGAGTCAAGACAGCTTTTTTTTCTGCTGCATGCAGGCTATAGTTACTCCTGTCTACAGACTATGTAAAAGCGAGATGAAGAAATAAAAACAAGTTAGCAAGACATTTTGGTTTACAAGGTACTGCTCAACTTGTCAGAACCCTTAACAGACTCCTCCAGTACCTTTTTAGATATTCCCACAAGTAGTTTAGGTAGCTACATCCTGAATGAAAACAGGAAGTAGTTAAGAGTAATCTTCAAAGCAAGCCAGGACACAAGAACAAGCTGCCTACCCAAATCTTCCCTGACTTGCATTCATACTCATTTAGAGCAGAACCACCAAACTCAAAGATGGCAGAGAAGATGACTTCATGACTTTAAGCCACAGCAAAAGCACAAAAACCATCAGAAAAGCCTGCTGACTAGCAGCAAACCGACAAAAGTTTAATCAACTGACAAAGAGAAAGCCCGCTTCATCATCTCCAGTGATTTAGGAGCCCAGTTCATCACACAAAGCTTCTTGCTACTCAAGCAGTGCCAATTGTAACTAGCCTGACAAGTCAGGAGTGCCTGCAAGGTTTAGTTTTTCATAGCTGGAGAGGTTGTTAAAAAGGGGCACCACAACTCCCTCCAGTCATAGATTCCATCTACTTAAAACCAATTGATTTTCAGAAGCACTATAAAAGTGTAGTCTCTATCTCAAAGCATGTTCTTGAAGTACAGAAGTGACACATCATCAGGAAAGCAATGAGGCACAGAAAGACACTTCCAGGGCAGCAGCTTTTAAATAAGCCAGAGCTGCAGTGGCTTATTTAAAATGGAGTTTCATGCTCACATGCCAACTGCCACCAGTTTGTAAGAAAATCTGTATTAGCTGTGTATTGGAAATGAGGAGATGGAGGAACAGGACAAAGTTAATGAAGTTCAGCTTTTCTAACACATCAAATGAATCTTCCTATTCTCAACAACGTATTTACAAAAATGGTTTTCTTGTTACCCTGCATTTAGTATATTAGAGAAAAACTTACCTGGAAAACTCCAGCACATTAAGAATTTCAAAGGTTTTTTCTTTTCCCAGCTATAAAAGAAAGCATGTACTATTATAATTTGCAGTACATTCTTAAACGTGTAAACATGCAAGTTGGTTAAACACCTTTCTTGACACACCTCAGTGTAAATAAATTGTGGCAATAGCTCCCTCTGCTGGTACAAGTGATGTAGAGCCCTTTAGTCAAGGCATTCTAATCCTACTTGGACATCTAATATTGTTGCATCCTCCATCTACTGTTCTTACACCATTTCAAGGAACCGATAACTTGTTCCAGAAGGATAAGCATGCTCTGAAAGTTAAACTGCATATTTACTTCTTAATAGCTACCAATTAATAGATATATCACAGAAACATCAAGGTTGGACAAGACCTTGAAGATCATCCAGTCCAACCATTAACCTAACACTGACAGTTCCCAACTACACCAGATCCCTCAGCGCTATGTCGATCTGACTCTTAAACACCTCCAGGGATGGGGACTCCACCACCTCCCTGGGCAGCCCATTCCAACGCCCAACAACCCCTTCTGGAAAGAAATGCTTCCTAATATCTAGTTTAGACCTTCCCTAAACATAATATATTGAAGAGTTTAGATTTTTATTATTTAAAAACCCTATTTATTTTAGTGACATAATCAAAAATTTTAAAAATTATAAACAAATAACCTAATATATTTTTTACTTTTTTCCTTATAATTGTTTCAAGTTTGTACCAGAAAGGTGATAAAAAACCTGAATCACTTTCTTGGGTGATACTGTAATAGATTCATTGAGTGACCTCTGAAGTACATTTAGAAAAACAATTTTGTTGGAATGTACAGACCATGAGCATTATTCCAAATGAAAATAAAACATGCCATCCAGATTTGGTATTACAATAACCGTTGTCTGAACTGCCCTAATATTTCTTGAGTTTACAAGGATATTACATTAACCATTTTCTGCCACAAAAAAAAAAAATAACTGATGAGTAACTCCTGTTACCACCAAGAACTGTTTGCGAGGGTTGAGCACAAGCAACCTAAAAGGCGTTAGAAACACCCTGTCTTTATCATTCCTGTTGTCTAACAGACAGAAGGAGCAGTGGGATTTACTGGAGTCTCAAAACTCCAATGGTATTTGTAGCATGAAGTTAAAGAAATGGCTGTAGCAAAATCTAATTGTGGTACAGAATCATGTCCTACAAGGCACGTATCAATTCAGCAATATCCCCAAGACCAAAGGCCATCTCCAATCCCATGTTACATGTACTGCCACTGATGTAGGCAATGAGGACACACAGGAACCTCTAGGAGTGACAGCTTTTATTGCTGGCTATAGTCTGACCACACTCCCATCCTGGTATGTACAAGGTGTATAAAACTAGGTTCAGGTGGGCCTGGGTCTTCCCTGCAGAAAAGAAAAGAGTTCTAGATAACTCTAGATGGTACTGCTCACTCTAAAGCTCTTCCCCTTAAAGTAAGCAGCTATTTTCTGAGAAGTTGTAAAAAGTTTGTCACAAAGTCCTAGAAGGGCATGGTTCACATGCTTAGGCTGGCAGTGTACCAAGAAACCTGAAAGCGAACACACCTGAGAGGAAGGAGAACACATTCATTATTCTTAGTAAGCACCCTACTCATTACACCTGTGTAGAACTGAAGCCACTTTATCTTAGACAGCAAGTTAAGTAGGAATGACTGCCTGTGTCAACTCTAATCCACTAACTAGAGTTAATGGATTAATCCATTAACTGCACAGCTTATTAAGTAGATGCATCTTCTACAGAAGATCTTGCTCAAGAGAAAAAACGCATTTTACAAGATATCAAACATTTATAAGTAACAGTTGAACACAATAATCAGAAAGTCTCCTAGACACGTAAATTTTCATCTAATGTGAGTTCTCATCTGTGCTTCTCAGACAAGGGAAATACTCTTCAGACAGAACTGCTATCAGTTTCCATATAAGCTTGCAAGTTCCTACTGCCCTTGCCATAGAGAAGGGCAAAAGACTTCACATCTAAAAATAGAATAAGACAACTTCTTGTAGTCTGCAAAAGGATTTTGCACATAGCACCCTAAAGGCCCTGTGAAGGAGAACTCACAAGAACCACACAAGAGACATTTATGCTTCACGTGAGCTTTGCAGCCTGCACCATGGACAACTACTACTTACCGCATCAATGATAACTGAATGAGGAGTCCGTCCTGTGAAGACATAACCAAGCTTCTTTGCTCCTTTTACTAATGCCCCTTCATCTGCCAACACAAGAAAAACTTATGTTTAATCCAGTATGTAGAAGAGGCCTGAAAAGCCCATACTTAAATATGCCACACCGCCAAAACACGGAATACCCCTTTCCCACATACTCCCTTATCAGTGGGTCTACTATAGTAGCTCTGCACACAATTCCACAACACTCACATTTTAGTCCTACAAAGGCCAGTCAACTACACAGACTTCATACTACATATAAAACATCCCATAATTACTAAAGCATTAAGCTATTGTTCTTGAGGAGCCATACTTTTCTACATGAAAAAGGGGAAATACCTGTTCTGAAAGCACAATCAAAGCTGTGTTACTCTAAATTCCTACAACATGTATTTAATTCGTTTCCTGCTGTAAAGGCACTAAGTTCAGGTGCTATGGAAATACAGCATTGTCTTCTGGACACTGAATAGGACAATGTCATTAAAAGCTCAAATAACAGAGCTTAAACCAGAGCCAACACCTCTACCTCCTGTAGGTAGGTACACAGCCACATTGAGGAGCAAGTGGCATTAAGCACAACCATCATATAGGTGGATTTAGTGCCCAACTCACGTAACCCTAATGTCTCTACAGCTCCCTTATGTCTCCTCACAGTTCATCAACACTGAAAACAATAGCTGCCTTACACAGGCTCTTCACCCTACTCTTATTATTTGTGTCTTAACAGGGTGCCTGAAACTATGCTGCTTCATCACTACAACAATTCTAGAAACAACCTCAGTAACACAGATATACATGATGGGGAGCAGGGCCTTGCTTTCTGCATTTTGCCCTACCTACCTCCTTCAATACTTCTGTGCTACCTGAAAGGAGGACTAAATGGGTGAAGGGCAGGTCCAAATATGGCCAAGACTCTGCTCTTGGTTGTGCTGTGTCATGTATCAGCACCTTGTATCTGCATAGAGCAAGATGGGAAGCTACTATATCAAGAAAAATAGTTTGCACTCATGCCAAATAGAGAAAGTAACTGTTCATGCAGAAACAAATCAGTATTTTCATAGATCAGCTGTACACACTGGAAGTTCTACTTCTGCTTTTCACCCCTGCAGAAAGGCCAGAGTAAAAGGTCTCATGAGAACAGAAGGGATATGCCCAGCCTAGGTCTACAGAAACATCACAGACTTTGCAGTTTTGTAGCAGGCATTCAAAAGCAGTGTGCACTGATAACAGAAAATGCCAGGCCTACTGCTAGCATCTTGCTTACAGAATTGATGACCTTCACAGAAATTTCTGGACCTTCCTTCCATCTATTCCCTCACTCCTTCCCTCCCAAAAAGAAAGCAACAACTAACCTGGAGAGGAGGCTTGATAGATTATTTTATTTCCTTGTCTCTCAGGAACAACAGTATGACAGACAGCCAGTAGAGTGAGGAACTCCTGTATGTGCACAGCTGTGGGCTAGACAGGACATCAGGAGAGTCAGGTTTAGTATTACACACAAACTGAGAGGCAGCTGTTCACTAACCTGAGAAGACCTGTTAGGTACCACAGGCAAAAAAAAATTCTCTAACTATAGTAGTTGTCTTGGTCCCCAAACATCAATACAGTAGAGTTAAGGGCCAGCATTAATGAACTGGGGGGCTAAAGACTTCACTTAAGTTGCAGAAGCCAGAATGTTCCCCACACCCCATAAAGCATTAGTTTCGTAGCACCAAAAGCTTCATACAGGCAAAGATATCTGCCACAAGATGCTGATGATATTCAAGCAACAGAAAATACTACTTTGGTAGCTTCCACAACAGCTTTCAATAGATTGACAGTAACCACACCAGAATTAAACTCATTGTGACTGCACCCTTCGCAATGAACATCTAGACCTCACAGCAGCTGATTAGCCAGTAGAAGGCAATATCAAGTGCTCTTCCACAGGAATACATCATCCAGGCAAGCAGAAATTTGGTCAATAGTCCCTACACATTCAGCATCATCAGAAAACACAATTAAAACACACTGTTCACAGATTGCATAGTCACCAGCCATCACCAAGTGCTTAAAGAAACACTGCATCTGCAACTCAGTGAAGATGTCGTGGCACTTAAATCACAGGCCTCTGACCAGCAGTCTGACAACTGCAGGTATACTGACTTGAAATAGAGTCCCCCATCCCATTCTTCCCTTTCTTCCACTCCTGCCTCTGACACAGCATTTCCAGTCTCACAGCAGTCAGAAATGGTATTCAGCTGCCCACTTCACAGCCTGCCATACTAACTTCATCCACAGTTCACACAGATCTTTAAGACACTGGGGTGAAGCAGCTGAAGTGAACACACATCCCCCTTCAACTCTGCTATATCCGTAACATCCATCAGTATCGTATATCACAGTAGCCACTTGCTCAATGACCAAGTCAGATACGAATTTAGCAGTTCAACCTTCGCAGAATGCCTTAGCTGACTTCAGAAACTAGATGATGTTTTCATATTAAAAAAAAATTCTGTAAGTTCACTAAGTTTTCACTAGCATACCATATTTTATACATACTGACTTAATGGAATCACTAAAAATTCCAGAGCATTACAAAAGCTGTTAGCACAAGGTTGGGCCAAAAACCTACTGTTGTAATAAAACCAAGACGAGATAGAAAAGATCCCTACAAGATTCTAGTAAATCAGAAACCAAGGTTTTTAAACAGTTAATTAAAAGATACTTCTACACAATTTATTCTGCTAGTGTAGACCAGAATGTTTCACAACAGAAATAAAGCTACAATGTTTAAATGAAACTTTCAAGTCAAAGTTATGTGCCACCAAGAATACTTCTAATACAAGTCTGTTACATCAGAGCATTTTTCTAAGACTATATGCAGCACTACTATCTAAAATGCAGCACAGTTATTTTATAAATTCTTTTAGTCACACAGAACTATTGAGACATTAAAGACCCCTCCATTCACCACTTAAAATGCAGCTTCTCACAATCAGGCCAGCAGCATTCACAACTGGCTTTCAAACATCTTAATGCTTTTCTCTCCAAGGAAGTTATGTGACAACAATAAAAGCAATTTTTTTTTTTTCTCTTAGGTGCCATTTCAGGGACAAGACCAAGAACAGGGAAAACATGTTGAGATTTTGCTTGTTTTCTCACTATGGTGCACACAGCCTACGTACTTGTACAACAGAAAGATACAATGGCAATAGTGGCATTTTGTTAGTAGGATGTAAATTACTATAAAACACACAAAATGTCAGCTGACAAGTGTTGTGTTAACAAGTAAACAAAAAGTAAGCATATCAGAAAAAAATGTAATAGAGTAAAGATGCAATACTTATATTCTTGTTTTGCTTCATGTACTTTGTCATGAATATTTGCAAACATTTGTTTCACACAGGACCTTTATCTTTACACTGAAACATCTGAATTGTATGGTCACATGCCACTAAAATAACAGCAGTTGTAGCTTTTGACATGCTGGAGTGCAGAGGCTGTGTTCAAGAAAATGAACACATGGAATATAGTCAGGGAGTTTGTGTGAAATGTTAGCTCCACAGCAAATTATTGATCAGAAGGTTACTGCTCCTCCACTATTTCCAGTGAAAGCAATGAAGGTTTTATCTCCATCTCAAAATGCACAGACTGCCAGATCCTCATTTCAGCATCCACTGCTGCAGACCTTTGATGTCCTTCTTACAATTGTATCGCCTAGCCCCTTACATGCTTTCAAAGTGTATGTTCTATCAGCTGGAAACAACCTGTCTCTGGTCATGTCATAGATTTTATTTCTTCCTATGTATATATTCCTGCTTTCAACAAATTACACTGCTTGGTATTTTCACAGCCCAATGTATTAGATGGCAACCTTCCAATTCCATAGCAAGAGATCACCAGGGGCCCATCTTATCACATCAGCTCCTCCACACAGCTGTCATTTGTTTCCTTTCTATTGTTCCAGCACTGACACAGTGTTTGTTGCACTGGCATGAATCAGGGTAGAGCATTCAATTTCCTACTTCAGAGCTGTGAACAGAAAACTCATTAATAACTTCTGTGGTGATACATCCCTTGCAACATGCCAAGTTAGCCCCAGCTAAGACATAAGTCCCACAGGTTAACTGATCCTGCTTCATTACTTAATTTTCCTCCATTAAAGCCAATCTCTGCCATTTTAGGACTGCAATTCTTACTGATGGTCTCCAAGACATTCCTTGCATGCTCATTTGTTAAGTTCATCTCTTTCTTCCCACTCCATATTTTCCTTCTCTATTTATCTGTAACAGGAACAAAGTCTGCATATTCCAGTCTCGTGTTCATCTGTCCACAGGTAGCTCTCATTTTAAGTGCCTTCTCCCCCCTTTTTTTCTCTCTGTATGCCAACAGCTCTGGGCTAAGCCTATTGCTTTGCTTTCCCTATAACTTTACTGAACATTCATGAAACACCTGGTGTACAATCACCTATACACCAACCAAACTTACTTAGCACACTGCCCCTACAAGCTGAGATCTACAGATACATTGAGACAGTCTCACTTCTGAAGGAATGTCTGGATTGTTACCTATGAAGCATTATCTACACAGAGAAGAGTTGCCCTACCTAGAAGGTAGAGCATCGTCCATTGACAAGCAGGGCATAGGTGACTTGTCAGGAAGCTCTATCACAAGTTTTTATCCCTTATTCAGAGGGAACAAAACACTGAGTCAAAACTCTGGTTTCTGGGGATCAAGCTGCACTCTGCAGAGCCAATGTGTCCACACATGTCATGCATGTCCTTTTTCTGGCCTCCTCACTCTGAAGACAGAAACTGCATTATTCTAGCTGACTGTTCACAGCCTGATAAAACTACAAGGAAGTTACATGTGAAGTTAAAGATAATTATTCATCTCTCCTTTCACTTATGGCAGCATCAGGTCAGCACCTTGATTCACAGTATCTCCAAATAAGCAGGACTTGACAGGGTTTTGAGCAAATGGCCAATGGGATATTATATCACAACCTAACAACTTGAGCTTACTACTTTGCATTAAACATGGCAACTTCTGCCAAGGACAACTAGTAAAACACTTATCTACTTCCTAACCAGGGAGAATGACATCTCACCATCTCAAGATGTGAACTTCCTACTGGTTTGTTCACTAAAAGACCTAGAGAATAGTGTGTGAATCCAGCGATGTTGGGCATATCTAGAACAGTGAAGCCGGTAATTCTGGAGAGGATCAGGATGTTTCAGGCACAGACTCAATGAAAACATGAACCAGCACTTGAATATCAAGAGTTAACAGCAAGTTTATCTTGTCCAAAGCCACTGAAATACAACATATAAAGATACTGCCTTGTACTTGAGCAAAAGGAAAGTACCCAAGTCCCACACACAATAAGGGCAAAACCAGAAGAATGAAAGATATTTCTCAACAAGCTATAACAATTTGTCAGTTGTAAAATGGTATGTTTTGACAGTTTTCAGGCAACAGTTACTGTCTGAACTAAAACTTCCCTGAGGTTCTTCAACACCTGAATGTATTTTCCCGTACTGTATTTTAAATTCCAGTTTTTCTTCCCAGTAGCAATATGCTTTTTTTGTTCTGCATTCTAAAGGGATTAAGAATCAGCTGATGATAGTGGTCATTTGAACAAAGCCTGATGGGATAAAAGCCTCAGTTTCCACACACTTCATGAAAATAAACAGACATGCTGAGATCTAAAGGAACATTTTTACTGAGGTAAAGGCTCAACATGAGCACAACAGTTACCCTTTCTGTCTGGCCAGCTGCTTAACTGCTCACCACACATACTCACTGAATCAATTCATACATCTGCAGCCATATGATGTGCTTGATGCTTCTTGCCCAAGCAGTAATTTGTGTGCCAGAGGAGAGTTTATATAAAGGACTGGAATGAGTAGAGGAAGTTTGGAAAGAATCCAATGAGGTAATAGAGAAGTCTAGGATGAGATCCAAGTTTATTACTTCTTTCACTTCTTGACCTCCTTCTCTACACTTGTATCATCAAGACAATCAGGCTTGCATCTCCATGATGAGTTTATTCACAGCACATGTGCAACTCACAAGCACCAAGACAAAGACCATCTAGTATATTCACCAAACTTTCTTTTAATTTTTTGGAAATAACTTTTTTCCTATTAAAATATGAGCTTACACAGTCCTCCCTATAGCAACAAGACAGCATCATACTCTCAGAGCTGCTGCAAAGGTCATCCAACAGAAGCTGTTAAAGAAAAAGCACAGGCAGACAAATCTAGGTACTTTCTTGCACATTAAACTTGGAGAAGCCAAGAGAAATCTCCACATGTTTTCTAGACAAGTTATTTTTTCTTGGAAGACTTCCTGCAGGACAATAATTCTTTCATTGTTATTCAAGAGTGGACTTGGCCATCAATCAGTCCATACACACCAGTGACCCAGAAGAGCTATGAAATTTAGAGGCAATGCAGAATGCTAAAAATCTTCCTAGCAGATGGAAGACAGTCTCATGAGGACAAGTACATTATTTTTTATTTTCAACCTGGAAAGAAAATTACTTGGCACTGTAACAGCTCTAAACTAACAGTTGTGTCCGATTGAAAAGTGAAATCTTCAAGACCAGAGCAATAACCACTTATTGCCTGTTTGTGAGAAATAGCACATTGACAACTGCATCTGCAAAAGGGTAAATGTTTGAAGTAAATTCATTGCCCAGCTGAGTACAACATCATCTGACCCCACAAAGCAGCTTGTGATAGATCACTTCAGTTTTGTCACCTCAGTTCATTGAATGACTAGAGATTACCACACATTTCTAAAGGGCATTTGCAGATAACTACTAGCTATGAAAACAAAGACATTAAGGAGTTTTAGGTAGAAGAAGCTTATGCAACTTAACTGCTGACCTAACACAAACAACAAATGGGCTAGAAACATGTAGTAGTTCTTTCTCCCACTATCCTGGAATCCAGCTTTGATCTCACTGATGCAGTTTGAAAAGGGGATCTGAACTTCCTAAGCAAACTGTCACAAAGTCCTTACATTCCTGTGCCTTGTGCTAAATCACCACTCGTCAGTGGGTAGCATCCATCCCTTCACCACAGTCAGGCTCCAAAAGATATCTTCGGCCTACACAAGGTACACCTTTAGTGTTATCATCCAGAAGTTTCCCCACTGATTGTCTGAAGGCTGAATTCACACAGCATGCTTAGCCCAACAGTCAGCTGGGCAGTGACAACAGTATTTATCTGTTCAAGCTGCCAGCCAAAAGGAAACTTGACACATAAGGGTTCAGACATGTAAAGTAGTAAGACTTCTGAGCTGTCTAGACTAAGTGACACCTAAGGAAGCTACCAAAATCCTTTATTTGCCTTCTATAACAGCAAATATTCCTTCTATCTCCCAAAGTAGAAGCTCTACCCAGTGAGAATCAAAGAATTAGAAATATCCTAAAGTTAAGGAGACAACTGAAGGGTAGATGAGAAACTCCATCTCACAGCCCATTTGATAAATATCCCTATTAAAATGTCCCAAAGGACTTTCCTGTATAGATGCCTACAGCAACAGCCAGTGAGGAAGAGCTCAGATAGACTTCATCTGTAGCCTGCACCTAAACCAGTAGCCTTCCATTCAGAATGAGTACATGGAGTCAGCAGCTGCCATAAACTATAATCGTAGCCATATATAAACAAACACAACACAAAAGAACAGGAGGAAACCCAACTCTTGGCTGCAAATGATGTGCAGTGGGAAGTCCTTCCAAAGCAGATAGCAACAAAAACCACATGGGAAATTGGTACATTATCCTGGCAGTGCCACCACCCTGAAGATAAAAAGCACAGGAACCATCTTCAGGTTCTATCACCCTGAGGAATATGTAGTGATATACAAAGTAATTCAATATTCTGTCAGGCATTTACACCATGCTACATCTGAACTTATGAAGTATTGTAAAGAAGAGTGTAAAGCAAAGCTTTGTTGCAAACAGTATGTGCTAACTATATTTTAGATGCTCATACTAAACCAGCCCAGTTACAGACATTATACTGCCTAAGGAGAGCAATTACCTAATTGAGTTTGTCATTTGAGTTTGCACTTGCCAGTGTTCAGATCCTCTACTGCAAAACAGCTTATGCAGAATAGAAAGGTCATGTTTTTCCCAAGTGACTTGAATTGTCTGATGTCCAGTTGGACACTTCATTGCTGCGTGGTTTCTGAATAAGCAATGAACTGACACTAAGGATTAGGTCCCTTTAGAACACAGTTAGGCTAAAATTACTAATCACTAACCCTCAGGCAATTAAGTCTCATTTCTTAAAGGGATTTTTTTTTTTAAATGCAATTGGAATTCCCAACATCTGCAGTGTTTAAAGCAGGTCTCACACCAGAACCACTTTACAATGCTTTAAATTGTTGAAAATGGCATTTTAACAGCATGGATGTCTGAACACTCTTAAGTAGTTTGTCTTTTAAAAAATTTAAATGTCTATCATCATTTACTACAAAACACTATGTTCCATAGACACCAGCATATATGAAACTGTTTTATAGCTAGCTAGTACCCATACAATGTCATTGTTTTTTTAATTCAGTAGTAAGACAAGTCGACAGACAGGTTTTGGAAAACCTATTTTGTTTCCTTTCCTCTGTTCTGTGCTTGCATGACACACCCATAAAACAGACTTGATCACACAAGTTAATTTGGTTAGCATTCAGTTCCAGAGAGACCCAGAATAGGGTTTAAGAGACATCATAGTCGAAGAGCAGACTTACATGGTCATTTTCTATGTTTTGCAGCAGTCTTGGGTCATCAAATTCACATGATTCACTGGTGGAAGGAGGTAGCTGGCTGCAGAGCAAGACAAAACACATGCAAACGTAACAGTGGCAACACTTCCAGTCTTTCTACTTCATCTATTTTTTTTGGAAAGCAAAGGAAAAACAAAGTAGGATTCCACTGTCCTTAAAAAACACTGTGAAAAGATCATACAAGTAATGCACAAAGTGATGAAAATGAGCAATAACCTCTTCAGAACACCAGCAAGAAACCAAAAATGGTTATGTTTGATGGTGTATTTGAGAAAATTTAAATATCACCACACTTCCTGGGACAGATGTAGCAGAAGCAGCTTTTAACTGTACTTTAAATACCTTGATTTCAAGGTGGCTTGCTTCTAAAATAGATCAAAACTCAATAGTCCTAAACTCCCTCTCTAGTCTGAGAGTTCTGTGTCAAGTCAATCTCTGGAGAATTTTGTAGCTTGACTAATTCAAATTAGTACCTGGAAGAAACTCTTCCAGAGAGCTGACTAGAAAAGAAGCCTACAAGGACATAAAAGATAGCAACAAAGGAAACAGCAACATGCTGGAAGGACAAGGCATCCACAGAAATCACGTCAGCTTAAGTAACAACACCCCATCATATCATACCACCTTCCTAAAAGGTGATCATAAAAATGAGATGGATCAGCAGAGAAGCCCAACTTGGTTCCACACAACATGGGTAACAGCATTCAACATCTACCTGTTTCCTGCAGGAGAATGTGCTTCTTACCCATACTTGCTAAAGTCACATCAGCCCTCTCGGGCTCTTCCCCTCTTCCTGTTAAACTGAACATGCTACAGTGACACCTGCATAACACTTTTCACTCTTTCTATAGAAAGAGACAGACCCATCACCTCTATTTATCAAATCTCCGCATAAAGAGGAGAGGTTCTCTTGACATAAGATACTTCCATATCAAGCTCTCTCCAGGTTTAATTGTTAAACAGCATTTTAGTAAAGTAGTTTCTTCTCCTTTGTCAGGTTTGAACTTAGTGACTGCAAAGAGGAACATTCCATCTGTAGAGGTAAGATTACTGTAAAGAATGTTACTCAGTTTGTTACTTGGTTGTCTGCAATTATAAATAAACACCACATGAGTGTGCATCCAAGCCACTCTAGCCACTGCCTATCCCTCACCCTCCTCCACCCACCATCTCTCTGTGTAAGAGAAAATCCATCACCACCCACCAGCTACTGCATTAGGCTTGTCCTGGAAGAGCACTTTACTCAAATACATTGCTCCCTTGGGCCTCTTCCAGTTCCAAATTGGAAAGCAGCATTTACATAAGTTGTCTCCACCCTGCTATACAGAACGCAAGCATCTTTGAATATGTTTACCTGAAGTCCTCTGATGAACGTTCTCTTTCTAGCTCAGGAAAGTGACTGATGGGTAGAAAAAAAGAAAAGAGAACATTTTTTCTACTTTGCAAACCAAACAAGTAGAAGGCGAAGATCCATGAGTCATCACACATACAAATATATGCTAGAAACATGGGTTCAGCTGTTCATACATTTGAACCAAGTTTTCTGCCTTTGGAGGTATCTAATCTAGCCACTGTGAAATTCAAAGGTTACCTTGCACAAAGATCTTATGACTATCCATTTAAAACTAGGCTAAGACAAATATTTAGTATTTGAGACTCAAAAGGCCAAGCGCTATGGAATACTGGCACGACTCAAAGGGATCCTTTTGACAGAAACAGAACAAAACCAGTAAGTGAGTACCCCTCTGGTGCAAGAATATTTAGTTCCACAACTACAGCTACATGGTTGTAATGAAATCCTGGTTCATCTCAGGTCACAGAAACGTGACTAACAACTGCTTCCCTTAGGCCACATTCTTCCCTCTGAAAAAGCCAGAGGTTGTCCAGCACTTCTTGAATCATAATCAGGTAAGTTAGGGAGCAATCTTTCTTTACTTTATATTAAGTACTCTCCAGGTTTGTATTTGCTAATTTGCGTTTCAGGACATGAAAATGAAAACTATTAACTGAGATGCCAAAATGTACTAAAATACAAGTTGAACAGAATGTTCTAATTCTATTCTGATACAGAAGTATGTACCTTTAATAAGCACATATTAAGCTCCAGAGTTTCTAAAAAAAAAATCATACGTACCCATATGTCACTCCAGCAATACTACATTTCTTAAAGTTCATGATATTGCACGTTAGAGTACCTGTTTTATCAGAAAACAGGTATTTTACCTGAAAGAAAGAAAGAAAATCTAATTTTCAATTTTCAAAGTAAAGAACTCAAAGTGAAAAATAGATTAAGTATCAGGAAAATTCTGGGAAACATATGGCTCAAATGACACAGTATTGGCCAATACAGGATTACAGCTTAGTTTGTCTTATCAAAGCTACAGCAAAAGAATCAGGCAAGTTATTTAATAACATTATTTCTTTTTCTCTAAATGCTGAAAAGGCTCAAATTGTAGGTATCAATTGCCAAGGCTCCAGTGTGATCAGTATGGAAATACTTGCTTGTGCTAACTGAACATTCCCCATATCTTTCAGCTGTACTAATGTTGAACAGCAAGACTTTAAATTAAAATGATTCCTAAGATTGTTGAAGAATCATCAGAATTTAACACACTGAAGAAATTCTAATCACAATTTTGTTTTTCGGGGTCACACCCCCCCCCATAAATATTACTGCACCAGGAATATCCAAATGGTATTTTGCAGGCAAATAAAAGCTGCTTTTTCTGGTATCTAGTCACGACCAGTCCTCAAGTACAAAATACATAGCCATGGTGAGCACCACCCAAGCTAATAATCCCACAATGTAAACAAGTGACTTTCAACTAGAACTTGGAGATGACTCCAACACAGCAGCACAACTTCTTGGAGCGTTAGCAGACTCAACATCCCCACCTTCAGTAGCCCACAACAGAGCAAAATTAATTGCAAGCTAAATTCCATACTGTTTTACCTCTGCACCAGGTAAGACTTTAAACTAGCAACAGGTAGGAAGGGATAGTCCTTATGTACGAGTTAGCCAATTTAAAAACTGGGATATTTTGCCTAGAGTTGCAAAAAGCTTTTCCTCAATATTTGCAATTGAGGTCAAGACAGTGCACTACACTCCTAGTTAAGCAAGTCAAAAGTCAAAGTGGATATCCAAACATCTGAGGAAATTCAAGTCATTAATAATTCTAGCATGTAACAAAATTTTAAAGTGCACCTGTGAACAATTCAATTAATGGATCCAAAAATTCAGTCTAGTTACATGGAATCACTAGTAAGCCATTTCTGAAAACAACATACAGTGAACAATATACATTATGCCACATAATATAGCCTACTTTGGACAAAAACACTACCATAATTTGAAAGTTGATAACTTCATATCAATCTAAATACAAAACAAATTTTAACAATCCTAAAGAAAAAAGCCAATAGGATTAAGCAGGAAGAATACTGACTACCACTCTTCTGAACAGCACACATTCATTATGTATTTTACATATATAAACATTGTCTCCAACACTAAATTCACACAAATTGTGAATTTGTATGTGAATTCACACAAATTATGAAGTTCATGTGGTTCAGTTACATAGCTATGACTTTGATGGGCAAGGAAAAAAGCTAGGATTTCTCAGTGGTACTACAAAATTCTAATGGCAAAGTTGTGTTTTCCAGTAGCCTTCTTTTGGAAAGCCCTACCATTTTGAAAACATATAATTTGAAGAATTTATTTAAAAAATCTCTTACAGCAACCACAAGTTAATATACAATTATCTTTATCTGAAAGGAACATGGAAATGTTTAAAGGAATACAATCTATATTAGGACTAGAAATATTTTGACTTGAATTTCCTGTGAGGTGGGCAGAAACATGAAGAACTAAGAACACAGACTGAGACTGTTGGCCTGCTCTTCAGCCAAGCTTAGACATGTACATTCTCTTTTGGTACAGGCAGTCAAAACCACATAGCATCCCTCCAACACCCTTGAGTAAAAAAGTCAGTTTAGAATGAACATAGGCAGTACAGATTCAATTCCCATGCTTAAAAAAAGCCTCTATGACCTCAAATTTAATTCTATGATTTCTCATTATTTTACTTGTAAGACTCGGACTAATGGAAGTAAAAATGTCCCGTTAACCTGAACCAAAGAGCAATACAATAAAGCAGATTTGTACAGCATGGTCTCATTCCCTCTGTCTTCCCAGAATCTCACAAACATGAAGTGTTGTCTTACCTGCCCAAGTTCCTCATTCAGGTTTGAGGTTCTGGCCATTGCAGGTGTATCTGTTTCGGGATAATACATATCTGTGTCCTGAAATGAGAAAAAAGTTAGACCTATGCTATACAAAATGGAACACTGAAGTCTCTAGTCTTCTAGTCAGCTCCAACTTGGGCTTTATAGAGTTAACTCTATTGGTGGAGGTTCTGAACACCTGAGAAACAAACAGCATCCCAGGCTGAATAGGGATACCTTCTTTCACAAGTATACCTCCATAGTACATGTACATGAGAAAAGCCAGATTCAGCTACAGGTAGTAATTTTCTTCATTGCATCTCTAGTTTAAGGATTTAGTACAGAAGGAAGAAGTTCCAACAAGATATGAGACACAACTTGTAACTCCCCAAAAGTCCCTCATCTGAGCAGGATGTGACACAAGCTAATCATAGGTCTTCATTTACAACAATGCAATTTACTCTAGCCACATATCCATGACTGAAGAGACAAATCAAGCAACCCTGTGAAATCAATTCCTATTACTACATTTAAGTGGGAGGGTAAGCAAAATAGCTGCTACATGAACAAGAAGCAATTCCTCAGATAAGCTAGGTAAGCATATCCAATACATAAGCAGCTCAGAACAGGCACATTAGACATTCATTTATTTGTATTTTACAGGAATCACTGTAAGTCCAGGAATAAATGCATAAGACAAGGTATTCCTATTGGTTTTGTTTGCTTAAGAGACATCACTACAGTACTTTTGGTCCACAACTGGAGAGAAACATACCTTGAAATCAAAGTATGTCTGAACAGAGGGGCCAGGGTTTTGTTGCGTGAGGCACCACCAATTCGCCTTCTTACAGAAATACTAGGATTCATACTAGAAGTGACCTTAAAGCCAACCTCAGGATTTAAAGAAAAACACACAAAAAACCTCCACACCCCCAAGCAAGTCTAGTCTTTCCCTCTGCTGTGGCTAAGAGAATCTGTAAGGTACTGCAGAGTTTTCAGAAGTTATTTACTGAACATGAGTCAGCTGAGAAACCTCATTTCACCAAAAGCTGAGCTTTCCTTCTCATCCTGCAACCCTAAAGTATATAAGAGCGATCATTTGCACATGGGATCTTCCTACAACTAAATCTTAGTTCTGTGTTCCACAAGAAAATAACACAGAATAAGTTCACTGAACTTCTCCCTGCATTTCCCAGAAAATGCATCAGAAAAATCATCAGAAAAATCTGGTAGATTTCAGGGTAGGTTTGTTGGGTGTTTTTTTTAATGGCACTTTCCAAAACTGATGTTAACACATTTTTTCTTGTTACTTACCCAATTTATAAAAAGAGCCTGAGTAAACTTGACAACTTCCAATGTCACCAGAAGACTGATTGGAATAAGATTGTTGTACAAGATTATAAATGTCAGCAGATTGTATCCAAAGTTGACAGACAGCATTTCTGTGGTCCAAAAACATAAGACATAAGCAGACAGAAGGCAAAAGACTGAGTTGTACTGTATAGGGGCAATCATCTTTCTGCAGTTGGCCTAATCATTTAGTAATGCTAAAATAATCAGCAAGTGTGTTGAGGCCTAGTATAAGGGCCTTTTTAATACTGATTTCAATAAGACATATATAAAACACCCACAGAACACATGCCTGTACACACAGCACATTATGTCAGGTGAAGAAGGCAAGATTGGTGAGGCTATATATTAAGAGAACAGAACACTTTCTGAACAACTTTTGCTAAACAGATGGTGAGAAGTATATTCCACATCATAGCCCAAATTTAGAGATTTGTATGATTTGTCAACTGCTCCAATTAAGAGACACCAATATCAATAGCAGCATAACTTTACCCTTCAGAAAGAATCTAATTGTCTCAGTGTAGTCAGAAAACAAACAATAAAGCCTAAAATTTGTTCTAAATCTGCCAGCATTGACAGAATTTAGAAGTTACTCACACTAACTAAAACTAAGAGAACAAGCTGACTGTTACAGACACCTAATACTGAACTAAGGCATCTCGCTTAAGCAGAAGAGCGGTTATTAATGGTGACAACATTGGGCAAGACGCCCAAATGCATCTGCCAGCAAAACTGCTCCTAAAGGGAAGGCAAAGCATTTATAGACAGCAGGCAGGAATTGACAAGGCTCAGTAGAGACACAGGATGAAGGCTCCTGTTCACTGTGCTGCCCATAGCCTCTCTCTATATTCAAAGTCTCCACATTTGTCTGCCCTTCACTTTCTTTGAAGCTTAGGGAGGCACTTCAGTCAGCATGCAGAGCACCCAGCACAATGGCATCACAGCCCACATCTGAAGGGTTTCCAGCATTACAAGTAAGTCAGTAATAAGGCAGGGGATCAAAATAGGAGGAGATAGAAGAGATAACTGCTGAAGCCTCAGATCAAAACTTGGGAGTTTGAACCCAGGCACCTCCAAGTGTGAGCACACAGGAATTCCATATCTGGTCAGTTTACAGAAAATAGAAGCACACTTGATAATAGAAGAAGTTTTTCCAATAAAATCTTCATAGAAATTAGACATTTATCAGAAATTTAATATCTACCTGCCTAGCCTGGAAAAGTGTCTTTTCCATGTGTGGTGTTTAGAAGTGATAGGAAGTGTGTTTTCCATTTACAAAAAGGCATCTACACAGACTACTATGTCATCCTAGTTTATTACAGGTTGCACCTGTTTTGTATTAGCATAATTTCAAGAGTTGGTTCCATTCATCTTTTCCCATATTAACAGCATCATTGGAAGGCACAAATTTAAGCTTGCTCATTAAAAACCAAGTGGGAGGGTAGGAAAGAAACTTTGAAAGTTTCTGATACTGCTACTAGAAGAGATTACAACTATGAAAAAACAGTCAAATATGAGGTGCTTCCATGCTCTTTCTATATAATTCTTCCATTAGTTTCACAATTGCAGTTCTTAAAATGCAGAAGACACCTTTTGCCATCTGTTTTGCAATCAACCAGCAGAAAGACCATTTGCAGTTTGTGACAATCATTTTCAGATCTGCATCCCAAGATGTTTGTAACAACATTTTATAGTTAGCTACTGTAACCCCTTCAGGTCAGAACTCTACTGGAGACCAATTTATTCCATCCTTAAGTGTTTGCAGAAGGCCCATCTGGTATCTGAACTAACAAATTCAAGGAGTATGAATGAAATCAAATAAAACCCTTCAATACACACTCTAAGAGATCAGTTCTCATTACAACATAATAGTATTAAGTCAAACCAAAAGACTGAAACTTTATCCATTAAACACAAAATCTTAACATTTAGCATTTGAGTTTTCTCCACAACAAGAGCAGATCAGCATTTCTGACAAAAACAGCTACAGAAATCCTTTGCTTCTGCACATGAAGCTGGAGCCAGTATCAAACTGATACCTACTATCCTACAGTCAGATACAGTCAAATGACACATAAGGCAGCAGTACATGACCTGCTCTGAAAACAAATTAATGTATGGCATCTGCACAGAGCTACAAGAACTTAAACATCAAATACCCAAGAAAAACTCTTGGCTCTCCTGTTTCTGCCCTTCTCCCTGGGTAGTATTCCAATGGTATTTACTTAATCTTTAGAAGGTTTTATTAACAGAAGCCTCAATGACAAGTTCAACTTATGCCAGTCCATTCTCAAAAAAAATACTGATCTACCAAAAAGTTAGTGACAGGCTTTGTTAGTTGTGCTTCCTTTTTTTGTTTCTTATTTTATGCATTCATTTATCCAAGCTAAGAGCCTGGCCAGCCCTACAGTCTGATATATCTCTAGCATGCTGTCTGCATACTCACTGTTGGAGCCAAGGTACCAGACGACTTCACCATGAGATCTGTTCCATAACAAGGCACCTACAGAACTCACAAGGGCCATCACTAGGAGAATACAGAACAAAACCAGGATCTGCACATTGGTCACTTTCTCCACATTTGATCTCTTCAGAGGTGCTTTGGTTGAATTCTGAACAGTAGCAGAAAAAAAAAAAAAAAAAAAAAAAACTTGTACAAAAGGAAATTGCAGAGGCAACTCAGTCTTTATTTTTAGAGTCCATTATAGAAATTGCTAATTCAAGTTTATTTAACTCAATGTGGTAAGCAAAGCTCAACAAGGTAGTGATAGGAGACAATACTCCTAATGACTCCAAAACTGACAGGAGGTCAGAGGATTCCATTCTAAAGACCTAGTACACTTGTCTCCAGGCTGTCCTTCCCACTGATGGTCAGAGATGAGGAACACTTACACATTGCTTGTGTCCCCAGTCAATCCCCACCATTAAGACAATAAAGAGACTATAGTCTTAACCTAATTATCTCCAAGTGCTAAGATTGTAGGTGGTCATTACTATGTCCTCAGCTGTTAAACTTCAGTTTTACATATTGTTCAGCTACCAAAGATGAAATACAGTTACTTTTGTTTGCATATTTAAGTGTTTTGAGACAGATACCTCAATAAGAGGTTGCATGTGCACATATGTAATCACAAGTACAACAGTATCCTTGTATTCCTCAAAGACTCAGGGCTTTAACAGCTACAGCAAGTCAAACCATTTCATAAGCAAGTCCAAAATACAAGTACAATACAGGTAAGATGATCAGCTTCTATTAGAACATGCTATAGATTGCCTTAACTTTACCTGCATGAGTTTTGTATCATGTCCTGTATACACAACAATACCCAAGACCCACTGCGTGTTTCTCAGTTGTGCACCTCTTAACAAGATCTGGTCTGGACCAACAGGAACTGGGCTGCAACACAAGAAGTACGTATATCTTTCAATTCTTGATAACACTTAAAGTAATTCTCATTTCAGCCTTACTACCCCTTCAAAAAAACCCAGACCACATAAAGAAATACAATGAACTTACATGGTCCATACAACTCAAGAGAACACCAAAACCTGTGTAAGCCTAACCCCTGCTAAAGCACAGTAGGGCAAAGGTGATACAAGGGAGGTGTTATAGTTACCCCAAAATTAGTAACTTGTGTAGCAGCCATAAACTTACTCTGCAATCTACCTTAGCTAATATGTTCTCTCTTGCATCAAAAGCAGAGAAGCAGCACAGTTGCAAAGACACCATCCATTCCAAGCTCACTACCACCTCACATACAGCATTCGACAGGAGTTTTGGGAAAACTGTATTACCCATGTGATTTTCAAGCGGGATGCAAGTGATCTTCTATTCTTGCATCTGTCACTGTTCAGCTGAGTTGCCCAAGGAATATACTTTTTGTGCAGGAAAATAGGTACAGCCAGATAAAACCTGTATGTTCCTACTGACCTTTCAAGTTCTATGAATTCAAGTATTAAAATTAAGTTCTTCCAAGAATTGCAACAAATCAAAATCACACTGAAAGAATTCAGATTCTGGGATCATTTTTCTCTATATATATCTAAGCTTGGTACAGCCTTTGGCTCTAATTGAAAGGTCTCCCCATTTCCTCTGTTATCTCATGTAACAGTAAGGCCATAAAACCCCCAACCATTTCCCCAACTTCTCCTCTTTAGACATTACTTTTGATTAAAAAACTCACTACAACTCCAAAGAAACCAGCTCTTTCATAACAAGAAAATTCAACAGGAAGACAGAACTATGTGCTCTTGTACTGGCAGATAGTCTGACTAATATCTGTCAATTGTTATCCTCCTCTCCGCCAGTACAAACAGTGCTCAGTGTTGCAGACCAAAAGCACATCAATACCTGTGACCATCTAAGCGCAAGTTTCCAGTGAAGTCGTAAAGATGACGGTTGGGTCCTTCACATTCTATCCTTCCAGATACTTTCATCAATTCTTCTCTTGACTGAAGACTAGCAGTTTGAGACAATCCCTCCAGAGATAAAAAGGAAATTCTTGTCAAACATTGTTATTAAAATGCAACCTAAGACAATGAGGCTTCCTTCCAACATATAAGACTCAATATAATCAAATGTGTGGAGATTTTGTCAGGTTTGGTGGTGGTTTCTTTCTTTTTGATTTTTTTTTAATGGGTATTCAATAACTCTCTCCTGCAAGAAAGATTCACTACGGACACAAAATCCTGTTTATATGTTTAAATCACTCTATACAAGAGAGTTATATTACCTACATTTCATTTTCTCTGTAACCAAGAGGAACGTCAGTCCCATCCACAATGCGCCAAGTTGCACATGTGCAGGAGGAAGTAAGGTATAAGTATCATCAACAGGCTTGGATTTTCTCTCCTATTACTATTCTAAGAATAGGAGAGAATTAGTATTCTAATAGTAGAGAATAGTATTTGCTCCACTGATATGTTACTGCTGGTACAGCTGCTCCTAAGCACAGTCTCTCTTGGATCACTACATCCATTACACTCTGATCCTTATTAACTCAAGGTTAATCATCAACATACTGGTGTTCCATCTCAGAGTGCACATACAACACTACACTGCTGTTCATCTGTCTGAACACCTCCACTTAGTTAAGAGTGATCCATTTAGTGTTTCTTTTGCCATACTTTGACTGCAGCATTGCAAGCCAGAACAAGGCCCTAAAAGGCCCCACAACCTTATATTTGTATTTCAAGCATGTGTCCTGAAGCAAGTAAAACCTGAGAGGAACTCAATATCTGATCTAGTGGGCTGATCCAGAACACTAAATGACATTTCTACAAAGGTAGTGTACAAGCAGAAAATGTACAGCTTTTTAAAAGAACAAAGGAATCTGTATTTCAAAATGCTAAATTATTTTTTTTTGTAGTGATAGGCAGCAAAGATTCTGAACTATTCCCAAATACCATGATCAACAGTATTTCTCCAACAAAACTAGAAAGATACCAAAAAATTCACCTACATACCACAAAAAGAAAGCAAATAACATACAACAGGTCATTTTGAGCAATTCACAGAGGCAGCAGACAGAGTAGCACTTGTGACAGCAGAAGATGCAGCTCTCATCACAAGCACAGATTAATTTTTTTTTAATACAGCACTTGAATTCCACTTACTAGACCTTCAGCAAAACACAGCCAAGGTCTGCTTGATTTGCCTTTGAGTTTACAATACTTACTCCAGATTACCTCCTTACACTTGCACATGAAGCATTATTGCTTGGTCTTGTATCTATTGAAAAAGTGGCTTACAGCTGCATGGAAAAAGATAGGCTTTTCTTTTTTTTTTTTTTTTATGCAAGCTAGGCTCTGCTTTGTAGCTTATGTTTTAAACCTAAATGGAAAAAAAAAAATTGAAATGCAGTTTTACCTGTCGTATTTTAAGATTCGTCTCCCCATCAAGATTAGCTGTTTCAATATAGCACATGGCTTGTGGTTCACTGTAAAAGCATAAGACTCTCAGTATTAAAACTCAAAACTTTCTGTATATTACTTTCATGCTAAAATGGTCCAAAACATACTTCAGTACACTGCAGAAGACAAAAATACATGTTGATGGTACATGACCATGAAAGAGCTAGCTAAAGAGACATTTTACAGAGATGTCTTTGGATATGAACACCCTCATACACCAAACTACAGAGTAAGAAAAGTCTAAATCAGAATGTTAATAAGAATTTAACAAGTCATGATAAACTTAAATGCCTTAAGTGGACTATTTTACAATGCAATCCATAAAATTGCTTCAGATTGCAAGAGCTACAGATAAAATACTATGTATTGAACAGTGCAAATAATGGATGTGCTTGGATCAAGAGCGTAGTGCTCTCTACTATTGAGTTCTGTCTGTGGACTGCAGACACAGAAGGTCACGGCCACAAGATCACTCTAAAGTTGATGGACTTTTGAAGTGACATCTGAAGTCATCAATAGTCATGGTTTTTTTATGAGATTAAGAAAAAAGATAGAGCAAAATTGAAACTGAGGGCTATAATCTGCATCTTTCCAGAGATGCTTCTGCCCTTACCAACTTGGAGGGAGAGGAATAAATGTTTTTCACAGAACTGAATTTTCCATTAGTCAAGTTCTTATCTACATCTAACATGGAGGAGCTCTGCATACACAGTACCTGTGATAAGAAAGGGTGCCTCTATCACAAATCTCTTCCTGACATGCCCCTTAAGATTTAAAAACTCTGTATGGCACCAACAAAACTGGTTTTCCCCCAACTGTCTTCTCAGGCCAGTAAGGAGTATCAGTATCCCAGCTAGACTCAAACACTTCTTTACCATATCACTTCTCATATTATTGAGATGTTGCTATTTCTTTTCCAAAGTAACGAATCGCTTTAACAGCAAATGTACTTTATCAGCAGAAGACTCAAAGGTCATTAGGATAAAAATTTAATTAAGACAGGAACATTTATACCACAGTAAGGAGGTAGGTTTTTCTCTCCAGATAAATTTTTCTTAAGAAAAGTTTCAGAATCTGTTCTCTGGCTCCTCCTATATGGGCAATCTGAATCCAAGAAAGACACAGATTAAGTCCAGCTTGATTCCAATTTTACTACTGTCACAAACACCTTATCTATTACAACTTTATTTAACTCTGGAAGGAGACCTCTTGCAAAACAAGTCCTCCCACTTTCACAGAAGCATGGAAGTGTTCCCATACAAAGTTGTGTTTGGATTCAAATATTTTTGCCATCATGTAAGCCTGATGACACCATTCTATGAGGACAAAAAAAAAGTCAAGATAAAGACTGCTGTTTATTTCACCTCTGAGTCAGGTCAGACAGAAATTTAACACATACAAGCATAAGACCCCCACCCCTTCAAAGTATGCAAAGCCTTCTGGTGAACTGAGGACTTAGTATTGTTATTTAAAGACTCATGGGGAAAAATATCAACTGCAAAGCAACACTGCCACAGAAATTGCTATTTATTTCAAGCAAAGCTTCTCCCAAATCAACATACTTTGGGCTATATTCCCCAGTTACTATGTGATTATCAATGACAGCAGGTTAGTAGGATCATGTAGACAAAACCTGACCCATGCAAGTTCAGAAATAAATCAGAAAGTTTTTTAGTATAATGCATTAGGGAAGTTCTCAAGTAGAACAAATATTCCTCAATGCTGAAACAGCAAGTTATTGATGTCAAAGCATAGCCTAACTGCATATTAATGCTGACAACTGCTTATTTAAAATTTGAGGTTTGTTTTAAAAAAATACTCTATTGTAATACCATGGAATGAAGATACTTATATCCTCGATCATGTGACAGTTCAGGAAAACTGTTACCCCAGCTAGCTTCCAAAAAAATGAAGCCTCACAGAAACAGCCCAGACAAGAAGGTTGGAGCAGAAAATACAACAACTTAAACAACTTCCCTTAGCAGTTATGTCATCTAAGAGAACTATAACCTGGAGACCAGAGCAACATGCAGTCACTGTTAAAAAGCATGAGGACAGAAGGAAATGGAAAAGAGCAAGGTGCCCTAAGGTTTGGCTATTAGAAAAAAAGCATGTTCACAAACAGGAAGGAACTGTGCTGTTGTCTCTTGTTTAAGTCTCATGTAAGTAGACAATGGACTTGATTTGGCCTCAAACTGTTCAACACAGCATAGAATCCAGATTAGCAGACAATTACCAGGCAAATGCTTTTAGCAGCTAACAGCAAAAGCTTGTTTGACAGTATATGAGTATAAAGTTGTCCTGTATTTCACAAATTAAAGGGAGCAGGACTCAACAATTTACTGTTGCTATCATGCTAGGGATGGGCCATACATGTGATGTATCTAAGACTAGGAGTAAACAAACTAAGCCCAAAGCTATTTTGCAGGCTAGTTATTGTTATCAGCTGGGCTAGCCTTTTAGTATAAGTGTTTGCAAGACAAATCTTTCCTAAGGGGCAGGACAAAAAAAATTGCTGAAATTAAGTAGAATTCACCAAAACCACCCTTAAGCTTCCTTAATTAAATAGAGGGAACCTCAGAAGGCCATAGAGCAAGTGACTCCATGAAGCTCATGCAACAGACCTTCAGTCTTCCAAACTCAGTGACAGACTTAGTGCATTACAGGTACACAATACTATGAAGTCTTACAGAAGCCTTCTTAAGAATGAAACAGGAATTACTGTCTAGTAAAGCACTCTTTCGACATTGCTGAAATTTGATTTTAGATGTGGAGAAGAGATAGTGCCATCTGATGTCTGTCTTTATAAATAGTAAATACAGAGTTTCAAGTCCTCTGCACCTCAGTTCAGACACATTTCCACACCCATTCAGGATACCTGGAAGATACAATGATCATGTCTGCTGGAAGATGTTGCCCATTGGTGACCTTCACAATATCGCCTACCGCTACCTGTTGAGTCAGGAGCAGGAGTACAGTAGCATGGAAAAGAAAAACAAAGAGTTCGCTTGTCTGGAATGTTAGTTTGTTATTTTATTTCACCCAGTCAAAAGAACAGCATCATGCACAGAACAGCTAGAGACAGTGCTTTTCAAAATCAGAGTACTTTTCACTGCAAGCTTGGAAGTATCAAAGCCTTCCCTTTTCTGAATGCAAGCTAAACAATTAACTATAGAAAAAATTTATATACTCAACTGGAAAGTGTTAACTTCTGTAACTTGTATGTACTAAACATTACTTGAAACGTTACTTGTTTCTAGAATCCTGCCATTACCTAAATTTGATGTTTTCTCCTTTAGCCTTATTTAACCTACAGAAATATTTTTTCCTAGTAAAAAAGTAATCTTTAAACTTCACCTCCCTCAAGAATCAGGAGTTTCTCCTATTTCTTCTCCATATTACTTGCCTACCCAGTCACCACTATTCAATTTTCCCTTAGCCCTCTTTAGATGCTTGTACTGGTCACTAGCAAGGAGTTTTTTCTCTACAGATAGATAGTACCAACCAGTTCTTCCCTGACTTATAGTCACTTGAGATGTGCTAAGTACTGATTTCTTGAATACTGAAGACATAAGAGTTTCTGGCACCTTTAACAGTGTCACGTCCACATGGGACTTTCATTCCAAGAAGGACTAAGTAGCACTCTCAAAGCAGTAAGTCAGGCTTGCCTGATGAGTATCAGGCTGCTTAACACCAATGCACTGCTGAGAGTCTGAAATGGACTTAAATATTTAAGACAATTTATAAAAATTGAAACAGATGGCATGTTTTAACAGGCAGACTCACGTCTTACTTTGATCCCACCAAAACCAAATTTCTTACTATTTCAGCACAAAAAAAGATCAGAAGTCTGCCTTAAAGTAAACAAGGTGGATAATATAGAACTGTTATTCCCCAACAATAACTGCAAGCCTGGACAAAATGCAAATGCAGACACAGGCCAATTCAAAAAGTGCTTAATGGTATAAGAAAATCAGATTCCAGACTCATTTTTAAGTGTCTTTCAATTCAGTGTCATCATTACAAATAGGACACAGAACAACATAAACTAGCATGAGCATAAGCCATCAGAATCCCTGGCAATCTTTAGTTTCCACTATAGCCTAACACTTCAGCAGGATTGCTTTTAGGTCTCGAGATGGGTCTCACTTCCCAGAGGTTTTAAAAGAGTGTCCTTTTTCACCATTATTAGATATCAGGGCTAATTTTGTCCTTAAAAAAGGCATTACGAACCACAATTAGACCAATATGTCCCATGGGATTTCAGCAAGTTCTAGAAAAAAAGCACAACAGGCCCTAGCACTGGGCTTTACGGTGCCTGAGGTAGCAACAGGGTTTGTGTTCCTTACTTGAGCAAAACAGCTTATTACTTAGGCCCAAAACCTGAGAACTTTTTAGGACAGAAAATAAAATAAGTCTTTTAAGACTTCCAGAGCAGGTACAGCATCGCAGTGAAAGTTACTCTTCCAGATGTCGACTAAAAAACAAAATACTGTTTACAGCCTGAAGCATATTAAACTACCCAAGCAGAAACACTTAAAATAACTCATTAGCATTTGACAAACCGTATTAGGATTTAAAGATAGATACCCAAGGTGCCTTGCTCAGAGCAATTTTAACCACTGCAACAGAAAGGATATCTCCTACCCCAAGTCACAGGGTTTTCTCACATAGTGTACATTAATTCTAGGACTCCAAATTTATTCTGGCAAGAGTACTTCTTGAACACCTTATTCCACTCCCTCCCATCCCCAATTTTATTTACCTCTTTCCACATAATGTTCTGCCACATCCCATTTCTTAGTACTGGAAAGAAAGTTTAAAGTTACATTAGAATAAAAAGCCAAGATTTTGACAAATTTCACAACAACTGATTCAGCAGAAGCAAGCACTGACCAGAATGGGAACTAACACAGATCAGAAAAGTACTTTTGAGAAGTTGGCACCACACTTCTGTCCACAGCTGTAGGCATGTACATCCGATACAGGAAGAATTTGCCCTTAATTTTTTTTTTTCCACCTACTAGACAACAGTTGGTGGCCTGATATCTTTTTGGTATTATTTCATATTAACATGCAGATGGGCAGTGGTGATAATTGTTTGGGAAATTACATTGCTTAAAACAAAGGGCATTATTTCCCACTGTCAATATCAGGAAGCATCTTTATGTACAATTTAATCACAGAATTATCACTTCTCATCTTTTTCCTTGCATTTTATTGTTTATTATTATTATTTAAGGCTGAGTCTTAATTGTCATGCAGGTTCAAAATCCTACTGAAAAGAAGGATATGCTTTGGCAGAAGGAGAATCCTAGATGCTGAAGTTCACATTGAAACAAAAAGGAAAACAGTACTGAAACAGGTTTTGGCTTCTGTAGTCCTATACTGCTGTCTTGACACACTCATTGATTAACCACTCTGGAACATGCTTTTCTATTCAATTGTTCCTCTAGATGCTTCTACACATACTTAATAGCACCCTAGTCTCAACAGTAAAGTCAAATAATTTATGCCAAATCATTGCTGAGTAGCCAAATCCAGTTCAGGTTTGAGCCCACCAAGTACACCTAAACAAACTCAAACCCTTCAATGAAAGCAGCTGTGAGAAGTTTTCAAAGATGTTCAAGAAGTGTAGTGTGCAACAGATGGAAGTTGAAGATGCCAGTCCCCTACTTTGAATACAAACAGTTTTCTTCTCAATTCTATGCAATTCACATATGTAGCTCATTTGAAAACCATATCAAATTCCCAGAAGATACAATTCTACTGAATACAGCATCAGCTGTCCTACTCCAGTTAGGCCACTCCACAAACAAGAACACAAGATTTGTCAAAGTGAATCAAAACCAAGAAACCCATCTCTTGATTCCTGTTCTCAGGCCACACACTTTGGAGCACTGAATCGTGAGATTTAACGTTACAGTGCATGGATCACAGTGAAATAAACTATTTGGGTGGCAACAATAGAAGCACTGCTAGCAATGCATCTGAACTGCTGAGCTTCCACCCAAACAGGTATACACAGTTTAAAGGAATAATAGTTTTGTGGCATCCCTTCCCTTCTTCCAAGCTGTGCTTGATTTAAGCTCCACTTAGTTCAGAACTCAGAAGGCCAGAGCCCAGAATCTCAAATGAAACAGCCACATACCTGTAGCCTTGACTCAAAACCCAAACCCTCAGAAAGAAACTGCAATATTTAGCATCTCCTGTGCCTTGCTTTAAACAGATCCCTGTTTCACCAGAAAATCTGAGGCATTTCAGCAAACAGTTCACACTGTTGTATTGTTCACTTGCAATGAAGGTATTTCATAGCTTTAAGTGCCATTGAACTTGGTCTTGTAGACAATTTACTTAAAACAATTTAGCTTTCATGCTTACTGAAATCAACTGAACTATTAAAATTAGTCAAGCCAAGTACTGAAGTAAGCTTCTTCTACGCCATAACCACAACATCTAAAGACAAAGCTTCCATTAGACATAAAACAGTTTACACATTTTCAGGTTACAATTTTGCACTTTCTACTCTGCTTAATACAGTTTTATAGGACTATTCCAAAGGACAGAAAAGACTGTCTTCTCTAGAATATTTATAGGAGAGTAAAATTGATGATTTATTGTCAAAAAGGTCTTTTGTTAAAGTAACAAAGAACAAATACCTAAAAAAGAATGCTCCTACTCAAACCAGGAGTTTCAATATAAACTTTCAATCTAAAACTCCTTAAGATTAAAAACAGTGTATTGATGTTCAAGATCTAGGGCTTAATGCTATCACTCACACCTAGGTGTCTCAGGCCATTTGAAAAAATGCTGCTTCTGAAGGGCAAGCATTTTCTATCAGTATTGTGCAACAGTTTGCTAGCCCTGTGCTTGTCTACTATTCAAAGGTATCCCATACAGTATTTGGTTTATTCTGTAATCTGACAGCGAGATGATCAAGACACCAGAACAGCTATTACTGAGATCTCTACTTCTATGCAATATGCTGCTCAGGGGCTTCTCTTGGGACTACATTTAGTCTGGTCATCTCCATATACACCATGTGAAGCCAAGACATGAAACACTGCCTCAGAACTTAACATGCATCAGTTCCTAATGGAGATGTACAGCGCTCACCTGGAGCAGAAGTTTCAATTTGGTGTCAATCCAAAGGGAACTTAATTCCTACATACCAAAGCCACTCTGCAATGAAAACCAGTGTTTTTAATGGTAAATTTAATATAGGAAATCTTTGAAGATACCGTACTGCTCAAAAAAACTAATCATGACTATAAATGCAAAGCCTGTATGCCAGCTACTGAATCAAGCATCTGGTTATTGCAGGCAGTGAAGTTCAGAACACAGCCAAGCAGCCAGTAGACACCTACTTTTGTGAGTTGAACTGCTCTCTACACTGACTGCATTTGCTAGATCTCACTCAGCTGTAAGAGGAACCTAAAGGCACGTGGAGAACTTAATGTAATTTGTCTTAATCTCACCCTGAACACAAATTAGCTTTTTATACTCATAATACAAGTCTCAAGAATTAGTCTATCCCTCCTCTTCAGAAATATGAGGATACAGTTTTAAGTATCATTGATAACTGTATTGAGTATTCAGAGAAAAAACTAAAATTAGTTTTAGTACTAAATTCCATTTAGCTCTGCAACAACACCTTGTGTTCTTTAAGGTTGTCTCTCCACAATTACTGTGATAAACTTCCCTTGAAAAGTTTGTTGGCACAAGTTCCCTAACTATAAATTAATTAGAACAGCTTACTGCGACCTTCAAAAAAAATAGCCTTTCATATTACCTATAATAAAGCTTACTGTGCTACAGCCACTTAATTGTGGATTTCTCATGACTAATAAATACAGTGTTCTTGCACTTGAAATATCTTTCCAGACTCCTATAGTTAAATTATCTTGAAGAACTGATAAAGCAATGTTTTCTGATGTTCACTAATATGCTATCTCAATGATCAACATAACTTCTCAAGCACAATCTAAAAGCAACTCACTGAAAATAGTCCTGCAAACATTACACCTGTTAAGTGAAGTATGGAGCTGTAAGGTTGTTCAGGTTCCTATGTTCCTTTAAGTGTTCCTCTAGTTTTTTGACACTTAAGCTAACTGTGTTTGGGAAGAAGGGGCTCTACTCAGAAATCAGACTGCATTTTCAGTTTCGCCTGCAGACCTCCCTGGAGGAGGCCACAGAGATCCCAGACCACAGCACAGACAGACCATAGGGCAGACACCAATAAACTTCCTATTTTCTGCACAGGTTTTCAGTTAAGAAAGATGAAGAAAACAAAAATAATGTCTCCAGGAATTCAATGCCAAGTAGCATGAATACATTAGGGATAGATGTAGGCATTCAGAGGACAGCAATGTTAAATTTTCTTTCAGTGACACTTCAAGAAAGCATATTCAAAAAATCCACAGAATTCTTCCTATATTTTAAGGGCAGCAGTATTTATAAAAGTTTATTAAAACTCCTTTGACACCAACTTTTATTGTTTCAAAGGTCTGTTGGGTTTGGTTGGGTGGTTGTTTTTTTGGGGGAAGAAAGGTGTTTGTTTTGTGGCGGTTTTGTTCTGAGTGGTTTTAGGTTTGATTTTTTTAGAATAATTAGGATAGAGTTTGGCAGGGGAGAAAATTGCTTGGCTTTCTAGGAGGAGCTCAGAACTGTATAACTTCAGAAAGCCAAGAAGTTGCATGAACTTATAAATTCTAATGATCCCCTCCACACCTCAGAATCAGCATCAGTCTGAAATATTTGGTAAAGTAAAATGCTAACATACCAGAAACTGAGTGCAAGAAGACATGCATTCCCCAGCATCACAACTGTTTAAGCAACAGAACTGTTCACACGTAAGCGTTCTGATAATCATTACTTGAACTTCAAGTATTTAACTTAAAGACTGTTTAGTCTTACCTATCGTTTTCTTTTTATTCACTGCACTGTCTGCCTTATGCCTTTTCTGCAAAGAAACAAAACATTTAATTACATCTTGTTACACTTAATTACAGGTTCCAAAAACCATTAGAGCTAGAAATATGATGAACTGCAGGATGATACATTGGGTAGTTTTTGCCTTTATATCGTATTTTCGTTTTCTAAAGCCACACAGATCATCTAAATCCAAATGGTTTGTAACAGAATATAATAGAACTTTCAAGTGAGAATCCCCATGTTGATGGGGGTTTGAGCCTGACATCCAACAGCAAAAAGAAAACCTGTCCAAAACCAGGTTATGGAAAAAAAACAAAAGGAACAATGAGAAATGCTGTATTTAAGTGACAGCTGCATTACACATTTTATGTGCTGCTTGTTTCGATTAATTTATAAATTATTTTATTCTTCAGAAGTTTGCAAAGCAGAACGACCTCTATTATAAACCGTATTTAAGCAAGTTAAAGCAGGTTTTCCCCAAAGCAGTTTGCTCTAAGTCTACTTCTCCCCCATTTTTAAAACCAACCTAGAGGGCCACAAATCTGTCAGGACTCTACAGTGTCTTTCCAGTCAGACCTTTTTAATGAAAGCAAGAATAAACAAGTTTGAAGAGGTAGAAATAAGTGTCCTGACTTCTACTGTTTCCTTGTTCGCCATCTATAATGAAAGCACTTAATTTATCTCAATGTGCTACAGAAATTCTAGTCAAGTTTAGAGCTTTGAAAGTCAAAGAGTATTTGCTGCTCTTCAGCAACAACCCAAGAGATTTCAGAAATGCATAGCTTCATGGCATGCTGTGGTTTTATAGGAACACATTGTCTTTAGCACAGCCTTCTCCATAATCATACTCACATAGTCTTCTATGATTTCTTTGATGCCAGCAACTGTTAAAATAAATAGCAATGGCACCAAGGTGGTATATCTTCCTGTTGGAGAGACATCTGGAATTTGCTGTGAACAGAGGGAGAAGAGATACTCATTGTATGTATGTATTTAAAATTAGTTTGTAGCAAACTTAGAACTTTATGTAAAGCTTTCTGATTTGTGCCTCACTGACATCCAATTTCAGTAGGAAAACTAGACTAAGCTCTCAGTAGGTTTGAAGAAACTACAAACAAAGTTAGAAGACGAAGTTGTTGTACCTGCCTTCCATGCTATTTCGCCTCTCTTCCTAAAAGGAACATTCAGATGATGTAATTCACCTGGAGGCAGCAATAATCTGGACTATCTAGACAGCAGTTTCACAAAAATTCACACATGCTTTTCTCAGTATGGGTAATAACTCCATGTTTTACAATATTACTTCCTGGTTTTACTTACGAAGAATAAAAGTAACTTGATTTTTAAAACTACATTGAAAAAAGTCTAATTTCCATTATGAAGTACATGCCTCATTAATATTACTATGAAAATATGTCTAAGAAATTTTTCACAGTTAAGCACCACAACTGAAACAACTTTCACTGCAGTACAATTTCATTTTATAATCAAAATAAACCAGTAAAACAATACCTGCAGTAAGGCAATGAAGAGGAAGAATGCATTTGCAGCTTTTCTTATCTGCTCATACAGGAATCGAGGTAGAAATGTCACCACACTGTACTTAGCTGTGCTGCAGATTAGAAGATTTTTGTTTTAGTATTTCATTGGAATATCACACACAGATTATGACCAAAAAGTTTCAGGTAGGCTTTTAGAAGCCAAAGATCACACAGTTAAAATATACCAAGAACATGGAGGAAGTTGCCTGTGTTATAAGGAAGAGCTGTACTTAAGAGATATGACACAGATCTGGAAGGCTGACAGTCCCACTTTAATCAGTAGTGCATTTATTATTAGATGAACTATCAGATAATTTACTATCCACACTCAAAGTTCAGCACTATGAATAGGAAGTCTTTCACTTCAGTTCCTAACACATGATCAAGTGCTTACTCCTCATTAAAACATGGAATTTCAGTGTTGGGGGAAGCAGAGCTAAATATGGGAGAAATCAGTTTTTAAAAAAGCCTTATTTCCCAGTTCAGAACCACTCTACATTCAATGATGAATAATCCTCCAGAAAAATACACACTTTTTCAGATTAATCTCTTCTGACTACTTTTCCTGGGCAGTTATCTTAATATTTCTTCTACCTTAAAACAAAAGTATACCGCACTAGCTAGTTTCAATAATCTGCATAATGTCTGGTCTTCCTCACATCAAACCCACGATGGCCATCAATAAAACTTCAGGGGAAGAAAGTGTCCAAGATGACTTAACCATTCAATTTTTAAAATTAGTTGAATTAGACCCCCACGCTGTCAAGTTACCAAAACCAACCTAAAAAGAGATTTAAGAATATTGATCTTGCAAAGTTCTTGCTTTCTGAACACATTAGTTACAACCCAGTCACCTACATGCCTTCCTGAGACAGTGCAAGGAATCTCAGAGATGAGAAACCAGGCCTGTGAGAAACTAAGAAAAACAGCCTGAGAAAGCAAAAGTTGAGGCTGATCAGAAGAAATGCCTCAAACACTCACAAGACAAAACTATGAGTCGCAGGGTGGATGGTGTGGAGGTCAAAGCTGATAAGGCTGCCCAAATAACACAAGATGCAGCTGGAGAAGGGAGCTATGTGGAGACAGGACAGCTCTGCTCTGGTGCCCCTGGACAAATTTCAAGGGCCACCTGTCCAGTCCACAAATTTCACATTAATGTTAACACCCCCCAATATGCTAATGAGGGCTAACAAGATCATGCTAATTACATCATCCCATGAAACACCTTACCCCTCCCCGTACATGGGATACATAGGTATGTGGGTCAACCTAGGGAACGGACCCAAGGAAAGTGGGTATAAATCAAGGGGGGAAAGAAGACAGATGCAAGTGAAAAAGATGTCTGGAACCCCCGCTGGCAGGATCAGCACAGGAATCCAGACCAGTGATCTGTATTCCCCATTCCCTCTATCTCCCTCTTTTTCCTTTCCCATTAAGAAATGCAAGGCATGTTGTATTGCTTGCCACACTTTGCTATATACTTTGCCAATTATCGTGTGTTCAATTAGTATATTGTAGGTAATTAATAAATGCTTGGACTTGAAGACTTGTTGTCCGCTTCGCTGGGGATGTGTGAATCTGAGTCACTTGTCCCCCTCATCTGAGCAGGACATGACAATCTCATCATGCTGCAGAACTTGTCTGAGCTGTATGAGTGACTGAGTCTATCCAGTAGTATGCACTGTTCCATTATATGAAGAAAAAATATTTTTAGAACAGAAAAAGCAACTCCACTGTACCTTCCCCCATTGAATTAGCACAGCACCTTCCCTGACTTAACTACCAGGCATCAGCATGAGTTGGAGTTTAAAGAACTGAGTGACTGCAGCTGTAGTTCAGGTGTCTTCCACCAGACACTGAATCTAAGTTCTGCAAGAGCCAGACAGAGTTTTAGTTGCTTGGAGTTTTTGGGTTGGGGTTTTTGTTTGTTATTTTTTTTTAAAGAAAAGGCAAACAAGTCTTACATTTCCAAGGAACAGAGAACCCTAAGATACTCCTTTCAAGAAAACAGAAAAATTGTTTCCTGAAGCACTAATAACACTGAACACAGGTAAGAAGTTGTTTTACTGAGGTTTCCCAGGAGTGTCAAGAGCACCTTTCCATTAAGTCTGGTCCTCTACTGTGAGATGCTTTTCTGGTTCTCTCCCACCAATAAGTCTTCCAGATCAACTGAAACCCATGGCATTACTATATACAAATCATAAAGGCCTGGTATAATCAGATACTTTATCTACATGATCTGCTTTTCACAACTGACTGCTATAGATAAAACTCATACAACAACCTTAATCCAAAAGCAGTTATGTTCAGTAGGGTCCTCATATTTGTACATACAAGGTGAGATAACTGCATTCTCCAAGACCGCTTATTTGCTTTAACCATTTTCTTTCCTGTCTCACCTTCCCCATCCCCAACTCAAGCAATCTAATGAGATACTACTGCATCTTACAGAAACAAATGTAAGAAGAACCAATATGCACAATGTTTTACACAAAGCTCTATTTTGTACACTAGAGCAGAATCAGTGGTGCAAGTTAAACAAAATGATCAATTACAAACCAATGAAGAACTCCTCTTACCACCTGGTTTCCTCTTCAAGAAACTAAAACCCCCCAATATTTGAAGCAAATCAGTTACTTTAACTGGATCTCTAAAAAAGGCAACATGACAATTTCTAGCACTACAGCCTAAAGACTTTTTATTGCTACTAATGCTCAGTAGAAACATGTATTGAAATAGTGTGATACTTCACAGAAATTTCAGGTGGTCAGACTTCAACATAGATTATGCCAACTAGGTGAAAATTTGCATCCATGTTTAAATAACATAGTGCAGTTACTGTATAAATGAACTTACTTCCTTGAAATGCTACTAGTTTTTTCCTACTAGAAGTAATTTTTGTTTTAAGCCACATTTGCTTGGTCTCATGGAGTAATAACCTTCTTTCAATATAGAACATAATTAAACACACATCTCAGAGGTACCTTGTGACTTTAAAGAAAGGGTTAACAGTTTATACATACACATCGACTCCTCAAGAAGTACTAGCTAGAACTCAAGCACTGGCAAATCTTATATCAAAACAGTATCCCCCTGGATACCACATAGCTATAACTATATTAAAGAAAGAATTTGTCTGACAGCAATCAAGCTGAAACATTTCTTAGCATTCTACCATTTACCAACTTTACAGCTAACTGGTCCAAACAGTCTTAATCTAATGATTGTGTTAATGCCAACACAATAAGGCTCTTTTGAATGAGCTTTATACATACTAAATCAGTCTGTGTATTTAGTTGCTTAAGTAACAGATGCCTACAGAAAATAGATACAGTTCTACTTAGAGTTCTAATTAGAGAGGGATAGAAGTTACCATGCAGACCAGGAACAGTTAATCATGTGTATGTATAAAGAGCAGGTACGTTATTACTCAAAAAGAAAGCTCCTTATGAAAAAGCTAGCTAATGCTCTAAATTGGGCAGGAATATTTGATAAATTTGGCTCTGAAGAACTGCTCTCTAAAGAACAAATACAAATAGTTTTGTACTCCCTCCTAACAGATAGATGCATTGTGTATGACTTCAGAATAACCAAAGCTCAGAAAAGTTCAAATCTACAGGTGAACAGGTAGAAAATTCAGGCAGCTCACTCATAGCACAGTTTTGCTCACCAAAAGATAAATATCTGCAAAGATTAGTCCTCCGACCAGCTCCAGAAACATCCTACCTTCCAAGAAGTGCCTGGCACCCAACTCCAAGCACATCAGGTCTGCAGCTCACAGATCCGATTGTGGCAGCAGGAAGAGAGGAGCACACACAGGAAACCAAACAAACAGTTTTTTTACTAAAGTAACTGTTGTTAACTACACAAATCTTAGCTACAGAAGTTTGATGTTTAAACAGGTATGCAAACTTTATAAGAGATGTCTCCTCTGTATCTGCAACTGAATTCATGCAAGTCATGTTTCATGTTAAACCACTGTGCAAGTCCGGAAGAACACTACCCAACCCTGTTAAATGAGTCTGGATACACATCAGTACAGTTTAAAAAGAGCCTGGCCCCACTGCTTCTAGGGAAATGCAAAGTTTTTTCCTGAAAGCAATCACAGTATCATTTGAAAAAAGTTAGCGTCATTCACATACCTTAACTCACTACCATGCTAATAAACTACTAAGGATTAGCTAGTTATTTTGGTAACACTCAAATGAATAGTAGCAAATAGTGCACCAAAAAACTCAGCAGTAGTTTTCCAGTATAATTCCTTTATTTACTAACATGGAATTTTTGCACAACAACTCCCATAGTTGCCATTTTCCCTGTTCACCAAAACCATAAAGTCCAATTTCACTCTACTGCATCATCCCTAAAGAGACAAGGGCTGCCAGTAATTGAGGCAGAGAGATTACTTGCTTGAGAAGTGTATGTGTGCTGGCAACATGCAGCTGAATACAGCTCTATGTTTTCTCAGACAGCCATCTACAGCACTTCCAACCCTTCCTTGAGATTTTAGATTGACAGCTCTGAGATGAACTTCCTTCAGGCTAATCACAATAAAGAAAACATAACCTCCTTGAGGTCTCATTTCCAGGGGTTTTAAGTACAACAAACCATCCTTTCCTAGACAGCATTCACCCACAGCTATCCATTCCACAGTTCACGTACTTTAAATACTCTCAAATCCAATAGCTGAAGAATGAATATTACTTGACTTGAATGCTTTTATCACACATCAATTCACAAGAACAATTATTAAGTAAGCTAGGCACAGACATGTGAACCACAGCAGAGGGGCTAGGCAATTAAAGTGAATGTTAAGAACTAACTCTTCTCTCAAACAGGCTTTGTTTCAATTAACATGTTCAAAAGATCAGATGCCCTGTAACAGAAAAAAGAAAAAAAATAATAAACCAAGATAGATCATCTTGAATTAAGGGCTCAAATACTGTCTCCAGAGGAACAGTGTGCGTGTACTAAGGTCCAGCAGGCACATGACACTTCATGGCAAGACTGGCATCAGCTTCAGAGGTTCTGCTGCAGCTCTCAAGTACAGAAGCAGTATGAATACAAGCTA